TGCAATCCCTATTAAATTACCAATGGCATTTTTTATGGAATTAGAACAAATCATGTTAAAATTTGTATGGAGACACAAAAGACCCTGAATAGCCAAACAGTCTTGAGGGAAAAAAACGGAGCTGGCGGAATCAGGCTCCCTGACTTCAGACTATACTACAAAGCTACAGTAATCAAGACAATATGATACTGGCACAAAAACAGAAACATAGATCAATGGAACAAGATAGAAAGCCCAGAGATAAACCCATGCACCTATGGTCAACTAATCTATGACAAAGGAGGCAAAGATATACAATGGAGAAAAGACAGTCTCTTCAATAAGCGGTGCTGGGAAAACTGGACAGCTACATGTAAAAGAATGAAATTAGAACACTCCCTAACACCATACACAAAAATAAACTCAAAATGGATTTGAGACCTAAATGTAAGACCAGACACTATAAAACTCTTAGAAGAAAACATAGGAAGAACACTCTTTGACATAAATCACAGCAAGATCCTTTTTGATCCACCTCCTAGAGTAATGGAAATAAAACCAAAAATAAACAAATGGGACCTAATGAAACTTCAAAGCTTTTGCACAGCAAAGGAAACCATAAACAAGACGAAAAGACAGCCCTCAGAATGGGAGAAAATATTTGCAAACGAATCAACGGACAAAGGATGAATCTCCAAAATATATAAACAGCTCATGCAGCTCAATATTAAAGAAACAAACAACCCAATCCAAAAATGGGCAGAAGACCTAAATAGACATTTCTCCAAAGAAGACATACAGATGGCCAAGAAGCACATGAAAAGCTGCTCAACATCACTAATTATTAGAGAAATGCAAATCAAAACTACAATGAGGTATCACCTCACACCAGTTAGAATAGGCATCATCAGAAAATCTACAAACAACAAATGCTGGAGAGGGTGTGGAGAAAAGGGAACCCTCTTGCACTGTTGGTGGGAATGTAAATTGATACAGCCACTATGGAGAACACTATGGAGATTCCTTAAAAAACTAAAAATAGAATTACCGTATGATCCAGCAATCCTGCTATTGGGCATATACCCAGAGAAAACCATAATTCAAAAAGACACATACACCCCAATGTTCACTGCAGCACTATTTACAATAGCCAAGACATGGAAGCAACCTAAATGCCCATCGACAGACGAATGGACAAAGAAGCTGTGGCACATATATACAATGGAATATTAGCCATAAAAAGAAACAAAATTGAGTCATTTGTTGAGATATGGATGGATCTAGACACTGTCATACAGAGTGAAGTAAGTCAGAAAGAGAAAAACATATATCGTATATTAACGGATGTATGTGGAACCTAGAAAAATGGCACAGATGAACCGGTTTGCAGGGCAGAAGTTGAGACACAGATGTAGAGAACAAACATATGGACACCAAGGGGGGAAAACCGCGGTGGGATGGGGATGATGGTGTGCTGAATTGGGCGATTGGGAATGACATGTATACACTGATGTGTATAAAATTGATGACTAATAAGAACCTGCAGTATAAAAACAAACAAAACAACTAATACTAAACTTTCTTTGGGTCATTTGTATGGAAATATGTTAATATAAATGTTTCAGACATGACATTAAATTTCTAAAAATCTTATATGTTCTGGTATAATGTTATAAGTCATAATTCTAGTTATTACTTTAAAATGTGTATCTCAGAAATAGCTAAATTTCCTTGTCAATTGCATTATTATGAACTTTCATCAAATCTTTAACCGTGGTCATTTTTAAGTCTTTTGTCATTTACAGACAGTCGGGGTGTACTCTGATGCTTTTGCAAAAATGTTCCTATAAAAGGGTTTCATCTTCAAGGAATTCATGGAAAAGACTCTGACAAGTACAGGTTTCTGGTAACTGACTATACTGCTGAACTGAATGAATAAGCATTTTCAGAACTCTAATGGAAAACTGATGAATTCATAAAAGTGCTAACAAAAGATCAAGATAAAAAAATTAATTACATGGGACTGAGTGAACTGATGAGGATGATTACAATTTTTGTGACTTTCTGTTTGAATAAAAAAAAAAAAATCCCACAAGGACTCAGAGGCAAAAAATATACAAATCAATTTTCACTGCAAAGTAAAGGAGCTGTTACAGTGGAGGATTCCTGGACTGAATGTCAATATTATGACATAGTGTGAGTGTGTTTCGTGTTTGGTAATTGCAGTCATTGTTGCTTTTGTTGTGGTCATCCATTTACAATGCTTGGTGTCAGTTTATTTATCCCTTGTAAAAATAAAATACAGTGTGTGTGTGAGAAAAAAAATGAAAAATCTATTAGGTCCCTCTCATCAATAATGATAAATTCAGCATATTTTGCTTCTCTGCTGTTCCAAGTGTGTGTGTGTGTATTCCAATAACTACTTTTTAAACAATTGCTTTAAGTTTGTTAAATTAACAATGAAAAACTAGACTTAGGTATAAACTTGTTTGATTTAATTGCTCACGACCATTTTTTAATCCCATGTCCTTCCCATTCTCATTTACTTAGATTGATTTCCCAATCAACTGGACACATGATTGGCTAATTTTTCCGTGCTGGGTTTGAGATCCTTACCTGTCTAAACATATCTTTATGCTCTCCTCATTCATCAACAATCTTCAACTTGCCGTTGACTGCCCACGCCTCGTTTTAAAATACAGCACTGTGGGCTTCCCTGGTGGCGCAGTGGTTGAGAGTCCGCCTGCCGATGCAGGGCACACGGGTTCGTGCCCCGGTCCGGGAAGATCCCACATGCCGCAAAGCGGCTGGGCCCATGAGCCATGGCCGCTGAGCCTGCGCGTCCGGAGCCTGTGCTCCACAACGGGAGAGGCCACAACAGTGGCCCGCACCGCAAAAAAAAAATAAAATAAAATACGGCATTGTTTCTCATCATCAAAAAAAAAAATTTTTTTATCTTAGTTTAAAGTGCTCCCTTTTCATGACTGGCTGGTCTTTTCTGATAAGTGGTGATTAATAAAGATTTTCTTAACCTTCTTGCTTTTTGCAGTAACTCAGCTACATTGAGGAGCATGTCTCCGCATTTCTCAGACTGGCTCCTGCTTTTGAACTACTAAATCATTACCGCGCTATTTTTCTCCATGCTTATTCCTGAAAGAGTTCGATCTCTATCAGATTAAAGATGGTTCCCGTCAGAGATGTGTGGCTCCCTGTCCAAAGGTCCAAAGGAAGACAGAAGGAAAGATTTCCGTTTCTAATGGTTACCTTTTGTCAGATTAGAGGTTACCTGTGTGGCAGCAGTGGAATCTGCAAAACTTGGCTGAAAATTTCCTTTTTCATATTTATGAGAGTAGCCGGCATTCGTGGGGGGTCCTGGCACTCTGACCCTTGTCAGGATCCCGGTGCTGAGGCACCCCCTCTCTCCCCTTGTTACCTAGACCTTGCAAACAGGGTTCCAGCTGTGTGAATCCTGCCCCTGGCTCTCTGCCTTGAGGCCAGGCTTGCCCTCCCCCAGCATTTCCCCAGTGTCCCAGGTGTCCCTCACTGCTATCAGCTAGCTGGCTTCCACTGCGGGTCCTTTCACCCTCCTCTCCAGGCAACCTCCCCTTTCTCACGCGATTGGTTGACCCTAAATCTTCCCTCCAGCACTATACACTGTGAAGAAATTCCTTAGCTTTTCTGGCCGGTAGAGGGCACTCTGCTCCCATGTTTGGATCCCTTTCGTCCTTGCAGTAGAAATTTAGGAGGAGGAGGTGGCGGATGCGGGGGTGGGGAGTTGTTCAACCTGTGCATTTGCATCAGCACCTTCGGCTGCAGCCAGCCTTATAAAGCGATGTCAGCACACTGACTATGGTCCCTGGCCTGATCAGTGCACACAGCTGTGCGAAGACAGAGCTGAGACGTTGTGCTGCTTACAGGCAGTTTCCTTGGTGACTTCAGGAGAGGAGAAACTGATGGCTTTGGGGCAGGGGAGAACCTCGGCTCCTGTGGGGGAGCCTCTGGGGGCTTTGGGGCACCTGGATGCAGCAGGAGACTGCAATTTTTGGAACAGGTGGGCCTGGGAGTGATGATCAGATCTGCTTCTGTAGAGGTCTCTTTGCTCAGGACACTGGGCAATGGGCAGTAGTGGGAAGAGCTTGGTTACCTAGAAGACCTCGGTTTGAATTTGATCTTCACCACATGTTAACCTGTGGTTCATGACAGGTTTTTTTTTTTTTTTTTTTTTGCGGTACGCGGGCCTCTCACTGTTGTGGCCTCTCCCATCGCGGAGCACATGCTCCAGACGCTCAGGCTCAGCAGCCATGGCTCACGGGCCTAGCCGCTCCGCGGCATGTGGGATCTTCCTGGACCGGGGCACGAACCTGTGTCCCCTGCATCGACAGGAGGACTCTCAACGCCTGCGCCACCAGGGAAGCCCCAGTTTTCTTATTTCTGAGCCTGTTTCCTCATCTGTAAACTGGGTAATGATAATAGGATCACCCTTCTGGTTTTATGGGGATTAAATGAGGTGCTACATATAAGACACTTAAGCAGCACCTGACTGATGTGTGTGGACCCTCCACAAACACTGAGCTCCTTATTTGAGTAAAGAAGAGTTGGAAGGGGGCAAAATGGCTCTTTCCTCCTCTTCTTCCTCTCCTCTAGTATCTCTGTTCCCCTTTTGCCCTTTGGGGTGACGTCTTAGCTCTCCCCAGCCCTCTGATCCTGGCCTGACACCTCTTTCCATTCCAGCCTGTGAACCTCTCCTGTTTGTTTCTGCAAGCCCTCCCCATCCCAACCCATCAAAATTGACCTTCCTCCACAGAGTTGTTTGCAAATCCACCTGGTCTTTCCCTTCTCAGAGGACCGTAGCATTTTATTACCTCCCTCCCCAGTCCGAACTCAATGATTCATATGTCCAGGTTTCCATGTGTGAGGTTTCCAGGATAAAAGTTTCTATACATGGAGCCCCTCTCTGGCTTCTGCTCCCCAGGGAGCTGGAAGAACTGGGTGGCTGAGAGAGATGGGTCACACACCGGGAAGCCAAGCACAGTAGATTTACTAGGGTAATATCTGCGGGTGAGAAGACAACACGTACATACAGAAATCCATGGCCAGAGATACCGCCCAGCACCACAAACACCAAAGCAGAGGGGGGCTCAGGAAGTGGCTCTGGAAAGTTCTCTTGACAATCCAAGGGCAGCTTTGGTGCTCAGAGATTCAAACAGAAAACCGTACAAAACCAACCCATAAATATATATATATTATGTATATAATGTGTGTATATATATATATAAAATTGCAAAATAAAAGCCCAAGAAACGAACCAATCTGCACATCAGCGGCTCAAAAAGTGTTAGCGTAAAGGCAAAACCACTTGTGGGAAAGATGCACAATCCGGGGGGCTGGCATTTCAGCGGCAGAAAGAGTATTTGCATGGAACCCCTATTTGAAACTTCACGATACTAGGAAAAGCTAAACACAGACCATGTATGTACAAGGGAAGACGATTGTCAGACACAGACGTTTCACCGAGACCGTCCACAGCTCTAGAGAACACAGCACTCTACCTAGACCCCCGTGTGCTCCACCACCAGGTGAGCCAGGCTCACGACCGTTTCTGCTCCCCCCCCACCCCCGCCTCTTCCTGAGAAAGGGCGTGGGACTCAGCAGGGTAGCGTAAATTACAGGAATTTAAAGGTGGAGCAGCCGGTGGAGATCAAACAATCACCCACAAAGCAGGACCGATAGGCATGGGGTGCAGTTGAAAGGTGGGGGTGAGGTCCCCAAAATATATTCCCATGTTAGGAAGCCTTTGATGTATTTAAATGTAGCCCCTCTGTCCTTGGTCCAACTGTCTTCCTCCTTCTGGTTCACTTTAACAGAGAAGATCTGGCCTTTGCACTTCTCAAAATTACGCAAGATAATTTGTTGGAGGGGTGAAGAGTTTAGGGTTTTTCTTGCTAGTCTCCTCCCACCCCCTAAGCCCTCAGAACATTTTCTTCACACGAAAGATAGGGGATTTGCCAGGTCACAGCGGGCCTCACCCTGCTGCTTGGAAACAGTGGGTGAGAAGAATCAAGGGCCGACTACACAGGGAAAGCTACTGGCTGGTACCTCCCCACAGCGAGACTCTGCTTCCAGGTCCACCTGAGTCCCTCCCTGTGCCCGTAACGGTGACCACTTCTCCTCCATCTTCAGGCCCCAATGTCTCATAGTGACAGCCCAACTTTGGGGGCAAACTTGAAGGCAAAGGGCACCAAACATCAATTTGGCAAACCTTCATACCCCGTAAGTACAAACCAACGCACACCATAGCTTCTGTATTTTTAAGAAAACCCCCAACCAGAGGTTCTTCCTAATCTTTCCTAAAAAGAGAAGCCTCTCTACCTAAAAATGACGAAAGGCGCTTTCTCCTCTCAAGAGAGACACCCCGCCTGAAACCCCACACTGAGGCCTGGGTGAGAGGTGGCTTCTCACCGTGGGAGGCTGACAGGGTTGGGTGTGCGTTGGCGACAGAGCTCTACGTGGGCACTCTTAGTTCCGGCAAAAAGGAATCCACGTCCAAGTGGACAGGTTGCTGAGATGGGGCGTCTGGAACTCAACACTCTACTGCGTACTGTGCCTGCTCTTTCATATTGTGGCACCAGTGGAACTGCCCACAGAGAAACATCCGATGAGCATATTTCATTAGTCATTTCAGGTCTCTGACTTTGTAAAGTATCCCTCTCAGAATAGATGTGGAAAAGTGAGGATACAATGGCCCATCACGTCTTGAATTGTGGGGAGCCTTGTCCTTTCTGCGGGGGTGGAGAGCATAGATTTGCATAGATTGGGCCCCTCCTTCATTTCTTCTCAGACTCTTTGAATGTTATTGTCTTAGAGAGTTCACTTGGGCTCATATGGTGGAGAAGATTTTAACAGACCCGCTTCCTCTGTGCTCGGAGAGGCAAACGCAATGTGGCAGCTATCTCGAGTACCGCTGCCAACCTGCACCAGGACCCAGGGGAAGGGCTGTAGTTTTTCTCATTTGTTCAACAGTCAGAAACTGTGTATTCCTGCCTGGAGCTAGAGCATAAAATTCACACCGGTACAAAAGACGGCACAGAGGCCGAGGGTAGGCTGTGTGTCTATCTGCCCCTCTGACTACCTCCATGGAGAAATCCACACTTCCTTTTCATTTTTTAGGCTTTCAGAAGTGAATCGTGATGTTGGGTGAATGGTTCTTTCAAATCCACGGCAACCAGAGAAGTGACCACATAGCTCTTCTTCCCGTGTTGACAAAGGTAGTAGCCCTCTGTGATGTCAGTGCCAAATGACATCTGCATGACTGTCTTGCCACATTCAGGAATGTGTGACACCACTGGACGGGGAGCAGAATGCAAGGCTCAGAGTACACAATCAGTGGTATAAGGGTGATGCTTTCCAGTGGGGTTCTTACTGGACCAGACTTCTCATCCAAATCCACTCAAGTTCTTTCAAAAGAATGTATCTGTCTGCAGAGGAAGAGCCCCATTTTCCTTACAGGAGGTTCTTTTTGTCTGTATAACCTGGCTGAAGTCGGACAGTGACTTGGGTCACCTGCAGGCCAGGAGGCTCTTGTGGAGCCCGGATCTGGGCTGGTCTCTTGGCAGTGCTTTTTGCAAAGTTTGAGGAAAGGTCACGTGGTATAGATGGTCCTCACACATGACCGCTGAGCACCGGCCACCAGTGCAGGGGAAGTCACTGGCGCCAAGCTTGCATCTCTGTAACACCTCTGCCTCCTTACTCCCACCCCTGCCCATCTTCCCAAGGAGACAGGCTCAGGAACCTCTCCACTCCCCAGCTCAGCATCTATAACGTAGCATCTCAGTCCACGCTTTCTCATCCTTTTCCACAGCATATCCATGCTTTACTAGAAACCATCCTATCACCTAACACTGCTGAGCTCCTCACATGCTGAGTATTTTTCTCCAGACAGATACTGGCCAAAGTATTCAGCCGACTTTTATTCAGAGCCAAAGAATAAGTCCCTTCCTCTCACCCTGCGAGCCTGGGGTCTTGTTTGAATGGCACATCTGCTTCAGCAGCACTCAGCACCTGGCCTTGAGCCTGGAGCCATGCCAGCTGCATCCTATACGCTCAAGAGGAGGAGAAGTGGGCAGGGTGACTCGACAGCTCTCCCAGCAACTCTCCACCAAGACAAAACAGAACTGGAAGCTGCGCTGAGCATTAGGTCTCTGAATAGTTCCCTCTCCTTGTTGAAAAGCTCTTTTAAGATGCCTCATCCAAAGAATGTCATGGGAATGAATTCTGTGCTCCCAGCTCACTATTTGCTGTAAGGGAAAAGGCAGTGTAAGGCAGGCCACCGCATCCGTTCCAGTTTGCGAAAGGCCTCCTTGTGGAGACCTCCATGCTTCCAGCGCTGCCCGCTCCAGTCAGTTCTCCGCTCAGTCACCAAAGGAATTTTTCTAAGATGCAACCTGCTCACGATCTACCCTGACCACAAGCCCTCAGCAGCTCCAAACCCCGTTCGTGATAAAGTCCCACTCCCTCACACCTTCTACGAGTTTCTTTATGGCCCACCCCTGCCCACCTGTGAAGTGAACCCCATCACCTGACTCACACTTTCTGTCCCAGCCGCACTGAATTACTCCACGGACGCGTCACGGCGTTTCATGCTTCCGTGCCTTTGCACGGGCTCTTCCCTCATCACCAGTGTCCTACTAATCCTCTTGTCCTCCTGGAAAATTCCTCTTTGTTTTGAAAACCTAACTCAACCGTCACTCCTTTCAGGAAGGTTTCTCTGGCCTGGAAGACAGCCAATCAACGCTTCCTTACACCTCCTCTGCACCCTTGCCCGTTCTGTAACTTGTTTATATGCCTACTAGACTTAGGAACCTCCTTCAGGCGGGGACCATGTCCTGCCCTCAAGCTTGGTCCATGACCTAAGCTTATGCGTGGTTTTTGAATGCATAGGGAAAGAACAGATGGTTGGATATGAGGCGGCCCCATGGCATAAACTCCTGCAAGGCCCTGGCATGTTCACCTAAATGAGGCCTCCCTGTTTTCACGGGAATAAAGAGAATGTGATGAAAGCAAAGAGTCTGTTGACATCATCTCTGAGCGACAACCACTCAAACATAAAAAGCTGCGTCAGTGGTTGGGTCCCCTCTACCTTTCTCTTAACACTGCCTGCCGCTGACTGTTCCAGTCACAACGATTGTTTTCTTTTAATGTCAGCATAATGCCTGCTGCTTAACAAATATTGGGATGAATGAATGAATGTGAAATCTTCTTTTTTTTGAAAGAAGGCATCAAAGGAGTGGTTTTGAAAGGCATTTGGCATATCACAGGCTTTTCTGCTTTGGGTTGTCCATCACAAGACTTGACTCAGTCAGAAGCGGAACAGAGAGATGGGTCTGGGTAGCAGTTAGGAATCTTCTGCTCTAGGGACACACAGTATTTGTGTTTTCCTTAGTCCTGTGTCAGTTTCCTTCCTTCTCAAGAAAGAGCCCAACGATGATGGTGTTTCCTGCCCCAACCAGAAGGCTCTGGCCTCTCCTTTGTCAGAGGTCCACACTGGCCCTGTCACAGCCCACATTCACCAGGAACTTACTGTGCACTGATCGGGGGGAACACAGGTGGTTTCCTACCTTCACTTCAAGTGCTAACATTATGCAGCGGAGACCAGTCACAGAAACGAAACAGTCCAGGACTAAAACAACCACCCTTGGAGATTAAAGTTTTCTGATCATCATAGCTGTTAAGTGCAAAGGCGCTGGACTCAGACGGACCTGGGTTCAAATCCAGCCTCTGAATCTTTCTAGCCAAGTCACTGGAACAAGTCAATTATCCTTTGGGATTGGAATTGGAATAATCTGACCCACATCACAGGATTATCATGAGGGTTAAAGGATATAGTGTATGTGAAGCCTGCACAGTGTGTGTGTGTGTGTGTGTGTGTGTGTGTGTGTGTGTAGTAAGTGCTCGAAAATGGAAAACTATGATTAAGAACTTTCAAAAATACTTTGACAATATTCAGGACAGAAAGGGAAAATATTCTTTGAAGACACTGTGCTTTAAAGAGAATGGATTGTCTGTTGTTTAGGAGTCAATGTTGCTCATAAGTCAAAGCCCCAGGGTAGAGTATGAAAAGATAGTGACGGCATCTAAAAAAATAGCTGTGGCTCTTACAGGCCCCAGGATTGATGGGCAGACAGTGACGGGGCCAGGGACACGCAAGCCTTTCTCTGAGAGCTGGTCCGAGAGGATTAATCCCGAAGGGCTCACCTCATTCTCCTCTGCTGGACCTAGAGCGACTGAGTCAGAACCCAGAGGAGCCACGGTCAAGGGGCCAAGGTCAAGGGGCCAAGGATGCCAGTTCCAGGCTGTGAGCCAGGGCTTCTAGGTTTAAGGGAAGGTCAGGGGATCCCAGATGCCGGACCGGAGGGGGACAGGGTGAGCCGCGCTGCCCTGAGAGTCAGGCAAATGCTTGAAAGGCATCGCATATCCGCGCTGTCCTGACCCTCCTTGTACCACCCAAGGCCAACAGAGGATCAAAATTTCCCCAAATTTCGGCCCTGCTTATGACAGAAGTGTTTCCTAAGCTGAATTTGGTTTTAGTTTTGAAGTGCCTGAGAGGCACTGTTCAAATGGGTCAAGTTCCTGCCTTCTTATATGGATCGAACCATCCTCCACGCCGTGGCTGAGCTGGCTGCCCTCACGTCTGCCCACTCGTACAACAATTCCGGCCGTCATTCCAGAGGTTCCATGAAGAAAGCTCGGGGTTAGTGGTTGGGGGTGCACAGCTAAGCCATCAGCCCTTGGGAACAAGGATTAACTTCTGGTGGAGGGGGCGGGTCCACTTGTGTGGTTCCCGTGAGCAGCAGGGCAGTTACCCTACGGGAAAGAGAAGAGAGATTTCTAAACATAGTGACAGCTCCGTCAGCAGGAGGTTGGGTTCACGCGAGGACAAGGACCCTGCTCAGGGGAGCCTCGACCTGTCTGATTTGGGTCTAATTCGTGAGAGCTTGCGGCTGACTTTGGCCCCTTGCCCTGGGCTCAGATCAGGGGCAGCGTCCTCACAAGGGCAGCCCACAGCTAGGCAGTGTCGTGTAGTGGGAAGAGCATTGGACTGGGAGCCAGAAGACCTGACTTCCAGTGCAGGCTCCGCCACGAACCAGCTGTATGACCTTGGGAAAGTCACCTGATTTCTGTGGGGCAACTGTAAAATGAGGGGTTGGTGGGGTAATCTCTAAGTTTCCCATCAGAGTGTGATCCAGGGCCTATTCGACCCCTCCTTGGCCCCGTGCTTCCAGGGACAGAGATGGGAGACGGCGAGGGAGGGGAGGGAGGACGCAGATGGGAGCCCCAGGGGGCTGCGAATCAGGACTCCACTTTCTCCTTCTTTTTGCTTTTCTTCAGGAAGGACGGGGTGCGGAATTTCTTCTTCTTCTTTGAGGGAGACTTGGAAGGTGAGCCCTCTGGGGACATGGGACCGCTGGTGACTGACTCTGTTTTGTCTTTCGAGGTGTCGACATCCGTGTCGGCGCTGGTGGTCATCTGGCTGAGGCCTTTGCTGAGGATGTCCTCTGCCGTCTGCTCATCCTCCCTGCCGTTGACCACCACTCCTTCTGGCTGCGTCTTTTCCGGCTCTGTGGTGGCTTTGCTTGTTTCCGTCTTCTGAGCATCTTCTAGAAAAAGATCCAAAGACGTGACCCATAAGATTTCATTCAGGCGAGAGCTTCGACCTGGGGCTAACAGAACCATTTCTAGGCAATTATATAAAGGAAGTCTAGAGCAAAGAGAGGGGCGGGCTGACACAGTAAGGGGAAAGGGGTAGGCAGGGTTCTCTCCCAAACAGGAGAGGACAGGCCCTTGGCAGGCCAGGGACTATGGGCTCTTGCCTACAAATGTAAACAGGTAATGATCTCCAGAAACGGCAGCAGCCCAGCAGGGGCCCGGTTGGGAGCTTTCCTAGGAACAGACAGAACAAGGGAACAGACGCAGACTACAGAGAGGCTGTAGGAAGGGGAGGGCACTGCCGTGGACAACTCAGGGGATGCATCTAAGAATTGTCGTGACTGGTTCAGTTTCACTAGTAAAAATATGGAAATGACATGTTTTCATACCCATTTCATTTCCTACACCTCTGAGGAACTTTTCAAAAATGGAGAGTATCTTCCCAGTAGGCAGAGAGGGGCAGGCAGAGGGAGAGTGGGATTCCCTGAGTGGCATGGACCCTACAGACTGCCACCCTATTCAAGACCAGGAGTGAAAGCCTCCTGCTGCCCTTTCTCCTCCTTCCCACTCTCTTCCCACCCTGCTTCCACTCAAGCTTTGAAATGCCTGTATGGGGAAGGAGGAGGGAAAATTCTAAAACCGTAGACTTTGAAAAGTAGAAAGGAAGGTAAAGTTAATCTAGCTCCTCCCCATTTTACAGATAGGAAAACTGAGTAAAGCAGTAAAAGCGGACAGACCTCAGTTTCTTGCCGTTCCAACTTAGTGTTCTTTTCGCTACGTGAAACTGAGAGGGGTGTGTGTGATTGTGCATGTGTGTGAGTGTGCATGTGTGTGAGTGTGAGGGATATCACACCACAAGAAAGTGGGAGTGTGGGAGCTGGGGAAGGTGGGAGACTGGTGTCCTTTGCAGACAGAGTGGGGCAAGACAGATGTCTTGGGAAATGGCTAGGGTTCTTGACGGGGTAAAGACTGGAGAAATGTCTGGTTACATGGAAGATGGGACAGAGGAGGGTAAATTTGGGAACAGTTAACATGCGCTAGTTTAACTATCTGGGTAAGCAAACGTCTTCTCCAATAACTCCTGAGGACTGTCCCCTCTTAGTACTGAAGACCTCGGCCCTGGCTCCCATTCTTCCTACTGTCTGGCCCGCATCCTGCCATCATCCAGCTACCAAGTCCTCTAATGCGCTTGACCCCTATGGCCCTTACTGCCCTCCCGCCCCCCATGCATTCCCATGGTCATCACTGGCCATTCTCTTGAACGCAGAAAAGCAGTCCAGACACAGCCTTCCCCCTGACCTCTCCCCTCTCCTCTCTTCACCTGCTTTTGGCCTCATCGACCCTCTGATCCCTGGACCCCTCCCTGCCATTGCAGTCTGTTTCCCTCTGTCTGGACCACCCTTCTCTCTCTTCTCTGTGTCCCCAACCTTCACCCACACAATCAATCAGCTTGAGTGTTACCCTGCCCTTAAAGTCTTTCCTGGTCCCATCCCTGCTTCCAGGTAGAATTTGTCACTCCTTCCTTTCGGCGCCTACTAGATAAATTTCCATCACAGTGACTGTGAAACAATCACTTCTTTTTTATGCCTATCTCTCCCCTCAAAACTGAAATAAATCAGACAAGACTGTGTTTAATTATCTACGTGACTAGCTTATAGGAGGTACTCAGAAAATGGTTGTGGAATCCATGAATGGTTGAATGCGTAAGCAAACAAATGAACGTGTGAATGGTTTTATTCTAACCAAGCCAATACCATACCTCATCTTTCTTGTCTGTCCCAGCCTGAGCCTTCTACGCTGAACTGGACCCAACCTTATAAACAAACAGCAGCCCTGCATCTGGCCTTTGTCTCCTGTACCTATTCCCCTGTTCCCACTCTTGGCCTCCTGGGCTCTTGTACCTCCAATGATCCCTCACTTGGATGACCCGTGAGGATGTGTTTCTCAAGTTACACCCTCTCAGATGATTTTGTTACCTGCCTTCTAGCTCCACGAACACAACTATGGATCAGAGGACCCCGCATTCTGTCCAGGTGCCATTTCCTGCCCTGTGGTGATAGGCATCCTGTCCCAGCAGTGGTCTTCACCCACGCCTGCCCCTTCAGCTGCATCTGCAACCGCAGCCCCTGCTGGCTTGCTCTAGGAGAGCACAGCAGGATTCTTCTCCCCAGCCAGAAAACAAGTCCACACCGGGCATGTCACCAGCATCTCACAGAGCTCCCGCACCATGAATCGTCTGGGGAGCATCAGCAAACAGAACGTGGGGCTGGGAGGCGCCATGGGCCTTGGAGGAGTCGGGTTCCAGATCGAGGTCACCACTCCCTCAGCTGGGGGGGACAGAGACCCCTGGAGGGTGCAGTTGGCCAAGAGAAGGGGCAGCAGTCAAGGCTCTAGAAATAAATACTTATTGGGCCCCAGTAAGGAAAGTATCAAGGACCAGCTCTGAGAGTCCAGATCCCTCCTTTGTTAACAGCCCACGACAGTTAAGGTCAGAACTACCTGGGTCTTCAGCTATTTGAAGGGCTCCAGGAGCTGTGGCAGAAGCGAACTCACCTTCTAGCATCTGGCTAAGACGAACCACTGGCTTTCTCTCCTAGATGGGGCACTTCGAGCTCTGGGAGTAGGAGACAGGTGTAGGGTGGATGGAATGGGGTAGAGGCTGGGAAATCGGGGGATCTATCCAAGGATGGTGGCCAGGAAGCAGAGGGGAATAGGGAGAGTGGATTTGGAACAAGACTGGACTTGGCAGCCTAGGTCCATAGCCACACCCTTGTGGCTTGGGAAGAGCTGAAAGGCTTGAAGAGGCTGGAGGAGGAAGGGAGGTGCTTTGGTAGGGAGATGCCGAGCTTGTTTGGGTACCTACCTCTCAGACTGGATTTCTCACTATCCCTCAGCATCCAAACACTTGTCTCTCAGTCCCCTGATGTCCCCTTCCAGAAATGCTCACTCCCTGGACAGCCCACTCTACTCCTATCTGCCAGTCCAAGCATATATCTCCCCAAGGTCTGGTTCCAGCCTCCCTTGACATTTGACAACGATTTTGCCCTTCTCTAAACCTACCACCAATATATGAATTTTACACTTGAGTGTGGTCCCCTCGCACTCTGAATCTGGGCTGGCCGTGTGGCTTGGAGAAACCAACAGAATGCAGGGGAAGTGCCACTGAGCCAGCCTCAGGCCGAAGAATTAAGAAGAACCAGCAGCTTCTGCTTCTATAGTTTGGGGAGCCTTGAGGCACCATGTGTAAAGTCCAACTACCTTGATGGAAACACAGATGGAGAGGCCACATGGAGAGGACCTACAGTTATATGGAGGGACAGACAGACAGAGAGACAGAGAAAGACACCCAGCCATTCCACTGTCCCAGCTGCCCCTGACAAGGCACCTGACATGTGAGTGCACCATGTTGGAAGTTCTAGCTTAGTCAGGCAACCAGATGACTGCAGCCCCAGCTGACATCAGTGGAGCAGAAGAACCACCCGCTGAGCCTTGTCAACCCACAGAAGAACTAATTTCCATAAACCAGTTCTCATTAGGCACTATGATTTAATAGTTATCTACTGCTGCGTAACAAACCACACCAGAACTTAGTGGCTTAAAACAGCAAGCAGCGTAGTATCTCTCACAATCCTGAGAACAGAGTACGTAAGGTGAACTCATTTATGAAAGCGCATTACAAGATCCTTTTATATTTATGAGCTCATTTTATCCTGATAACAATGCTGTAAGTCAGGAAAGGCAAGGATTCATGTTAGTCCCCCATCCTGCAGTGTTTTCATGCAACTTATTTGAGATGGCTAAATTAGTAAGTGACACAGCTGACCTTCTGATGTTGAATGCAGGGCTATTTCTTTGCAGGCATAGCCAATGCTCCTGAGGGGCCCATGGGGGGATTGACTCAGCAGGGGCAGGGACAGTCAGGAGCCAGTCAACAGAGGAGGTGATGACAGAGATGGCCAGATGTGAAGGAACAGGACTGGAAGGACTCCTTCAGAGAGCCTGAGGGGTAGGAGTCAGGGAGGCAGATGAGGAGTGACACTGAGGTGAATTAGCACAAGAGGATTTGACAGCATGGGGACGAATGGTGTAAAAGTCATTCCGGATCTGATGGGTGAGCTACATGTCAAAGTGCAGATACTACTCGGGGGGTCAGCCCTGTTGTTCTGAGGAGCTGGGCAAGCCAATGGGCAGCCTGGCCAAGGCCACCCAGCCCCACTTCACACCATCACCCCAGACAGCTCCAACTGGTGCCTCTTCACGCAGGGAAGGCACCAAGGAGGTCCACGCTCCCCAGCTCTGCGTGTGTTACAGGAAGACTCTTTTCTAACAACTCAACTAGAGTGTGCCTCTCCATGGAGCATAGATTTGGGCCAGAGAGAAGCAGGAATCCTGCTGCAGTGGGAACGACGTCAGGCAGTGGGAAAGCAGTGATCCCACCCCTCACACCCCTCTCCTCCCCGCCTCTGTCCCACTGAGTAGCAGAGGTCACTCCAAGGGGCTCCCAAGAGCCGAAATGGAATTGCCACCCCTTGTCCCACTCCTGCCACCAGCCTCCTCTCCAGTGGGCTCGCCTTCCTGCAATTGGTGCAGAGATGCTGCAGACGGCAGTCAGGCCGGGTGCTCTCTGCATGCAGATAAGGCAGTTGGTCCCCAAGGCCATTCAGGCTCTGGCCCCCAGCCCTAGAAGAGGTCATGGGCTCCTCAGAGGGGCCCATGCACTAGGAAGGGGGGGTGCAGATGTGCTCCCGAGGGCCACAAGCCCTCCGCCAAAGGGGGCGTCCAGCAGCTGGCCCAAGGCCCGTTCACTGTGGGTGGAATGTCCCATGCAAGTACAGGAGTGTGTTAGTGCACAGTTATGACCTATGTGTGTCTATCCTAGAGGGATGCCTAAACCATGCACAGCACATTGGTGGTGACTTTTATGGTCAGGAAACCTCCCGAAGGCAGGGTTGTGAGCAGCAAAAGAAAAAACTGAGGAGCAACATATTTCCTTTGTAAACGTCCTCCCTCCCCCATTGCATGTATTGGAGTGAGTTAGTAAACAGCCTTTCTATTCTTACTACAGAGACAAGTATTCAGAATCGGAGGAAACTCCTTTGATGAAGGCACCAACGGGAAGAGAAAGGAAGACGTTGTGGAGGCAGGTTGACAACACCACGATGAGACACGATGAACACAGTCATGGGACATCCACTTGGGGCTCCGGCCTCAAGCAGATGGGTTTCCCCTGCCAATGCTGGGCCTGTGCTCAAGGCAGCAGTTCACTTACGGAGGGAGCTCAGGGTTGGGGATTCGAGCTGCATTCACACGTGTGGCCATTCTACCCAGGAGGGGGAAGGTTCTATCAGGACACCCAGCTGCTACTGTCTGCCTGGGGTTCAGCCCTCCCTGGTGAGGGCTCACAGTTGGGGTGGCGTGCCCCAAGGGAGGAGCGTTCATGCCCCGGAGTGATTCTAGGAGCTCATTAAAGACACTTGCATGATCTGGGAGGTTTGGACTATCATCTTATTACCCATTCTATGCATATTATTAATCATAACCATAATTAGATCTTATATTTACATCAGGCTTTTACTCTTTCCAAGTATGTCTTCACCTACACCTTCCCTTATATACATAAGAACCTTAAAAGGGGAAAATATTAGTAGCCCCATCTGACAGACAGGGAAACTGAGGCACGGAGATTATCTGATTTTCTAAAATCAACAGTTGAGTTGGGCCTAGAACTCAGTTCTCTAAACTAGTATCTCATAAAGTGGTTTTCAACCTGGGCTACACATTAGATTCACCTGGAGAGCTCTTACAACTCCAGGCTGCACTCCCCCATGCCCACTCCTAGACCACTGAACTCAGAAACCGCTGGGGTGGGACCCCGGCAGGCATCAGGGATTGTAAAGCTCCCCAGGTGATCCCGACGTGCAGCCAACGTTGAGAATGACGCCATCAGCCTCACCTGGGGGCTTGCCAGAAACGCAGGGTCTCAGGTCCCACCCCAGACCTACTGTGTCTTCATCTTAACATTTTAATCTTCATTTTAACCAGATCCCTAGGCGATCCCTGTGCACATTGAAGTCGGAGCACTGGGCTGGTGAGTCTAGAAAGGCCCATCAGCCAACCTGGCCTGAGTAAGAGATGAGAAGGCTGTGGGTCAATCATTAACGTACTCAGCATTGCTTAGACTCAGCTTGACCTGTAAGGCGTATCGTCACAGCTTGTGAACGGAACAAGCTTAAAGTTGGTAACCCCTGTCTCAGGTTCCCTAGAAACAGCAGAGGGGAGAGTCTCCCGTAGGAGGGCAGCACCTGTTGAAAGGCAGGTGCCCTGCAGTGAAGACCTGCCCACCCTCTATGCAGACCCCCTTCTCGGCCTACGGAGGCGCCTCCTCCCTCCCAGATGCTCAGCTCCACTCACCGTCCACAGACTTGGAGGGAGAGCCCACGGGGCTCTTCGTCTCTGACTTGGCTGGGCTCTGAGCTGGAGAAGCAGGTGCAGACTTTACAGGTGAGCCAGGCTCCTCAGGGGCAGGTTCTTTCTCTCCTGAAAATACAGAAAGCCAGCTCAGGATAGAGGTCAAGGAGAGGAGAGGTGGGCAGACCGAGAGTGCTTTAAAACAACTGCTTTCTTCGGCTTGGTCCTCATTTCTCCTGGCTGGAGTTAGCTGCTTCCTCTAACTTTAAAAAAAAATTTCTGCTCCATCCTAGGGGAGGTAAGTGGGAGGAGTCGGGAGGAGTCGGAGTCCGTTTCCTCCATCACAGGACATCTCTGGATGGAATTTGTTACCCCTGATGTGGACGGCAAGACTGCAGGGGAACTCCCACCCACGATCTGTTTGCATGTAGCTTATTGATTATCTGGCTAATTTACATGTCCGGTCCAAACAATCTCTAGAGACAAAGAGCACCCTATTTTTCTATCTACTTTTTCGATTGGCACCGAGAACTCCAAGCAAGCTAACTCCAAGAAAGCCAGCGAGGATTCTTCTAGTTCCTTTGTTCCTAGGAAGATGGCTGAGTCTGGGTGGGGACGGGGGCTGTGGAAGGGGGCCCTGCCCTGAGGGAATGAAAGCCTTGCCTGGTGGACAAAACCAAGAGCTGAATTCTGTGTCTCAGACCCCAAGTGCACCTGAAGCAAAGAGAAGGGACGGCTCCATGTGGGGCACAGAGAGGGCTTCCTGGCTGGAGGGGGTTTGCCACAGAGGCCGAAGTGTAGATAATACTGGATCAGGCTAGCCGAGAAGAGAAACTCTGTCAGGAAGGGACAAAGGCATGAACAAGCTCTCAAGAGTATGGCTACTTAGGAGTCAGCATGGAGAGATGGGCTCTACTGAGATTCTGACATAAAGGACTCAGCTGCTGGATTCTGACGTAAAGGACTCAGTTCTGATTGCCCGGCTAAGCGGTTTATACCACATCTGATAGATCATCAGTAATTATGATCACTATTATAATGAACATATTATTACAGCTAACGTTTGTCTGGTGTCTACTGACCTAGGCCATATTCGTAGGCAGTATCCTAAGCACTCCTCACGGATTAACTCCTTATTCCCAGGTGAGAGGGTCAGTGGGGTCATGGCGGCAGCACCGTGTAACTGTCAGGCACGAGCCATGAGGGGCATTGGTGTGATTAACAAAATCATGCTGATAAGAATATTATTTGCTGGGCTTCCCTGGTGGCACACTGGTTGAGAGTCCGCCTGCCGATGCAGGGGACACGGGTTCGTGCTCCGGTCCGGGAAGATCCCACGTGCCGCGGAGCGGCTGGGCCCGTGAGCCGTGGCCGCTGAGCCTGCGCGTCCGGAGCCTGTGCTCCGCAACGGGAGGGCCACGACAGTGAGAGGCCCACGTACCACAAAAAAAAAAAACAAAAAAAAATTTGCTGATGGAGCAGGAAGGTCAAAGTGAGGACATGACAGAGAAGAGACAGAGAGAAGCAAATGAAGATTGAAAAGGAAAGCGAGACAAGGCTGGATTGAGCCCTGGGGGCCTTGGCAGGCAGCAAGGAAGGGGGTCCAGGGCTGCTGGCGGGGAGTGAGGGCCATGGTTTGCTCTGCTGCCTCTCTGGGTGCCCCGAGCTCTCCCCTCCGCCTGGGAGGTCCTGAAGCACCAGCTTCCGGGGGTTATTTACCATCGAGTTCTAGCTTCTTCCTCTCCACCTCTTTCTTGTACTCTTCCAGCTCCTGATCCGTGAGTTGGCTAAAGGGGTTGGGCGCTATCTCCTCGGCCTCGTCTTTGGTATCCGCCTGGCCCCGGGACATCAGCTGGCTCTCTGTTGACTGAAAGTTAACCACAGAGTGTGTCGCTCTCTGAACGCCGCAGTCGGGGCCCAGGCCCGAGCTTCCTTTCAGACTCACGGGGCTGCCAGTGGTCTTGCTAGCGACAGCGTGGCATGCAGCTCCATGGCAACAGCTCGGGGCCTCGGGCGTAGGGGTTTTTCACTCCGTCCCACGGCTACACCTCACCCCCCGGCCCCGGCTTCTTTGTAACTGCCTGGATGAACGCAGGGGGTCCTCCCTCTGCCCCAGAAATAAAATCAAAGAATGCTCCCAAGCAGAAGGAAGACACACCTTTATTGCGATCTCTACTGTGGACGCTTGCAAGCCGTCACTGTGCAAGTACAGCTGGCGGCCCACAGTCAGTCAGCCAAACCCCAGCATGCAAAGCGTTGGCTCAACCAGTGTCACGCCAGCCGCTCCCCGCCATGCACCCCACCATCCCGCATCAGCAGCGCAAGCCACAGCACCCAGCGGTAAGTCATATGCAAAACACACAGTGGCTTTGGCATTCTCGGTCCAAACTGTTAGTCCTGTTTTGCACACAGTCATAAAGAACAAGGGGGCCAAGGTCCTGAACCTCGGATTTTCAACCCGCCTGTACTGCAGGTCCCTGAAGGGACATTGGCAAAATCACTGTGTTTCACCCCCTCTGGGGAGCCCCTGGCTCTGGGGAGCTCACCAGCTGGGCCTTGTGTAAGCTTCGGGAATCCTTTGATCCCTCGAGCTCGGGACAGCTCAGACTCCATAGCCCTTTATCCTAACTCAGCAACCTCATCTCGGCCTTTGGGAATTCAGTGGTCCGGAGCCAAGGAGTCAAAGAAAGTGAGGGGGGGGGGGGATGTGAGCCTGGGCAGCTGGCCCACACTACACACTCCCGGCCATCTGTCTCTGGCTCATCAAGTCTTCTGATGATGGGCCCATGGGCTCCTTCCAAAAGAAGGCAGCACTGGGCCTATCTTAAGGAATCATGGGGTTCAAAAAAGTCCAAGACCAGGATCCCAAGAAGAGGGACTCCAAGGAGAGCACTTGGTATAAATGGCAGAGTTTTTAACAATGTTGATCACAGTATTGAACTCCCACCTCCCCCCATTATCATGGGGTATTTCTATCCTTGACCCTGTAGCACATTTGCTGTTCCTCCTCTTGGCTCAGCTGAGGTGGGGTGGAGGTGGTGACATAACCTTCACACTTCCCCTGCCAAGGGGCACCCACCTGGTGGGTTGCAGCCTGATCTGCAATCATGACATCACCTCAGTTTGCTCTGCAGAGAGGAATGGTCCCTGTATCCCCTGCCCCTGCCCTTACTGCTAAGGAAGATGCCACTGCTACTTTGCAATGAGCAGCAATGATTTCCAACACAAGCCAGAAGTCTGACGTTCACCCCTTTTGCTAAGCACTAAACAAAATCTGTTCTATCTCAAGCAGGGGAACAACTTTATATTTTCTAACTCTACGTGTGTTTGTGTAGGCAACTCACTGCCCCTTCCCATCCTGTAGGAGTACCGGTCCTTATATACATGTCTGCCCTCTGAGAGCCTGTGAGCATCTTCCCAGAGCTACGGCCTGATGGTGCTGTTTCCACGCACAGAGGCCAGAGCCGCTCAGGGCAGCCAGGCCTAGAGCCGCTGGGAGAGGCCAGCCGCGCTCCTGAGAGGTCACTCTGCGGGACACTGACAGAGGGCAGAGGGGAGTTCCAGGGGGAGGCATAGAAGCCGCATCACTCCCGTGGGCAGGCTGGGCTACTCCTCCCCTGCCTGGCGCCCACGGGAGGCGATGAGATACTGTCCCCAGTCCTCACAGCATCCATTTTGCAGCAAGAGCACCAGTGCCCAAGATCACAGGGGGAGGTGGGCATATAAGGACTCAGGGGTCCTGCTGCCCGGCCCCAGGCACTGCAGACCCAGAAGGCAAACACGTTTCCCCTCCAGACAAGGGCAGCGTCTGCTGTACCGGGCTTCGGCTCTTCTCAGCGATGACACTCGCCAGCAGCTGGGACTGAGGCCCCGCCGACTTCACATCCTGTCGGTTTTGTTCTCGAATCTGTGTAGAAAGGGATGGGGAGGGTGAGGTAGCTGTCCAGCATCAGGGTGTGGAGTTGGCAGGGAGCATCCCCAGGGCACACTAGAAAGGCCGCCCAGGGGTGCAGATGTAACGCATCACATCCACTCTGAGACAGTCTGTCTCCACGTCTGCTCCAGAATGAATGAGAAGTTTATGTAGAACGCCAGATTCTCATTAACCACAAGCAGATCATTGAGATGAAGAGGGAAATGAGGCATAGGAGATCCTTGAGGGAGATTCTCAATTTTTAATATTCCTATGAAGTCCCTGAGGAATTGGTTTAAACTACAGATTCCTGGGGGGCCACCCCGTACATATTGAATCTCAGTCCCATGGGAGGAGGGGTGGGAGTGACCCAGGAATCTGCCCTTCAGAGGACCACACACTGAAACACTGTTCTGGGAACATACCCGACCTATTGAAGGTGGTCTGTTACAAGTTAAGTTTTTAAAGTAACATTAGAAATATAAGTGAGTGAACTGTAATGCAAAGGTAGAGAAATAAACACAAAGGATTTTGCAATCTTGAAAATGAGCCAAAGGGAAATAGCATAAAATTTGTAAAAATTCGATTTGCGGGTTGGTCTCTTAGACACATCTAAGGTCTAAAGCTAGCACCTCTCTATTTGAGGGTTACACAGGACAACAAAAGCACAGCGCTTAGCACTGTGCCTGGAATATGGCCAATAGATGGTAGTTTCTTTTCCATAAGAGGCATCTGGGATGTCGGTAAGTCAGGCGCATCCTGGGGACCCCCCCCACGCCCTTGAGGGAGAAAAGATGGGAGGTAATTAGCTATCCCCTTACCTTGTTGCGCATGTCCAGCACTTCTTGGGGGTCAGTATACAGAGGCACAAATTGGTTTGGGTTTTCGATCCGTATGGGCATGCCACTGCTGGATTTCTCCACCTCGTCAGCCTTCATCCACTGAACACACACAAGGCCCGGTGGGTAAGGCAAAGGCATATGGCTCGCCGTCCACCCTAGTGGTCCACCCCATGAGATCTGGGCCGACCAGCCTACGTGCAAGTCAGCAAGCCTAGACAAACACTTTCCCTCGTCTTGGGCCTCTTTGATGTCTGTCTCCCAGAGCAGAGATGGGCAGCAAATGACCCAGCAACCAAAGAAAGGCCCCAGATCAATGGCCATAAAGAACACCTAAGACGAGGGACAGAGCCATGGTGCCAGCTTTGACAGACAGGCAGCCGCTGGTGTTGTAGTATTAGATGACTCATGGATGTTAATTTGCAGGGCTTTGTTGTTTTTTTTTTAAACGAAGAGCTTTTCTATTTGGCTGCCAGCTACTTTGTTAGTGAAAATCAAATTAAGAGCCAGGGTGTGTGATGAGGGAGAGAGAGGAAAAGAGCATACAATTTGTAAAAACTCAATCTGTGGGCAGGTCTCACACATCTAATGTCTAAAGAAAGCACCTCTCTACAGAAGAGGGTTATAAAGGGAGTGGACAACGTAATAGAAGCAAGTACCCCATGCACCTTCTGGTTTTGCATCAGATGGTCAGTTCAAATGTTGGGTACCCCTCCCTTGAATTTCCCAGAAGCCCCTTCCAGATATGGGAGCAAAAAGCTTTCATGCTGCTGGGAGTGACCTGGTCCAGCCACCCTCTGGACCAAAAACTCAGCTTAGGGGTGCAAGAAACAGGTGATCTGCTCCGTAGGCATGAGAAGCTGCTCCCAGATGCCCAATAGGAAGCCTTAGCGGGAGACAGGACTAGTGCAGGCCCAGGGGAGGTTTGCTGTTTCCCTTTTAAAGCTGCTTAGCCCACACAGGTAGCTGGGCACTCTCCTTCCACCCCAATCTCCCCAGCGGAGCCCCCTCTGCCCTCCTTACCGTGGTCTTTGGCCGGGGGCTACCCATGCTCCTCTGGACCTCGTCGGCCACGTTGACCCGCAGGTAGGTGTTGGGCGTGTTGAGCCAGCGGGTCTTCTCCTTCTGCTGCTTCTGGGCGTGTTGCCTCAGGGCTGGCACCGGGGTGCCGTCCTCCTCAAACACGAAGGCTGTGACCGTGGCTGGAATCTCCACCTCACTTTTGTGTTTGGTTTTCTCTTGAACAAAGGGGTAGCGGTAGGTGTAGCCTGTTCTGTAACCCTAAAAAGGACAAAAACAGAACCACATGTGGTGGGGAAAATGGTCAGGTACATGCCTGCTCGCCCGCTCACACGCTTTACCCCCTTCCATCTAAAGGACTCAGTTTAACCCAAAGTCTCTGTAATACAACCCAGGCCTTGCCGCACCTCTGGTGTATTTCAGAATTGTTCCCTGTCTTGGTCCCCCAACCCCTCCCCTCCTCCACCCCAACAAGCCCTCTGATCAGGGATGAGAAAGTTCCCAGAATCTTGTGGACCAGACAGAGGTCCAGCTTTTGGTCTGGTCCAGTAGTTCTCAACACAACAGAATCATGCGGGAGCTTTAAAAATGTATATGCCTGGGCTCAACTCAGAGTTCCCCATTTCATTGGACAGTGGTGCAATCTGGGCTACAGGATTTTAAAAAGTTTCCCAGCTGATTCTAACAGTAGCCCTCCTTCCTCGACTCTGAGGCTTCTTAACTATTTTTCTCTTGGGAGCCCTAACTCTGACTCAAGAACATCCCTGTCTCCTAAGCAAGACCATGTCCCCCAAAGGTGGACTGTTACTCGGAATGAACACTCGGGAATCTTAACAGCTGCTGGAGCAATTCTCGGCTCTGCCTGTCATCTTTTTTAAAATTCAAGTGGTATTAAAAAGAAAGTGGATTGGGGCTTCCCTGGTGACGCAGTGGTTGAGAGTCCGCCTGCTGATGCAGAGGACACGGGTTTGTGCCCCGGTCCGGGAAGATCCCACATGCCACGGAGCGGCTGGGCCCGTGAGCCATGGCCGCTGAGCCTGTGCGTCCAGAGCCTGTGCTCCGCAACGGGAGAGGCCACAACAGTGAGAGGCCCGCGTACCGCAAAAAAAAAAAAAGAAAGTGGATTACAAAAGAAGTACAGAGCCATGTAGAAAAATTAAGCAATATAAAAAACATAAGGAAAAAGGGGGTTTTATGCAAAATCTCATCCCCAGAGACAACCACTAAAAATCCTTTCAGCCATCTCTCTAAGCACACATATACAAATGCATGTACGTAAATATACAGACTATATGATTAATCATATAATATATATAAAACAGTATATAAATGGACTGTACCACATAAGCAGCTTTTAAAAAAAATTGAGATATAATTGACATGTAACTTTACATTAGTTTCAGGTGTGCAACATAGTGATTCAATATCTGTATGTATTATATGTGTAACTGAATCACTTTGCTGTACACCTGAAATTAACACATTGTAAATCAACTATACCTCAATTAAAAAAAATTGTATGTATTGTGAAATGATTACCACGAGTCTAATTAACATCCAGCACCTCTCATAGTTACCATTCTTTTTCTTGTGATGAGAACTTTTAAGATCTACTCTTTTAGCAACTTTCAAATATATAATACAGTATTAATAACTATTGTCACCATGCTGTACATTACATCCCCAGGATTACTTATTTTATATATGGAAGTTTGCACCTTTTGACCCCTGTACCCATTTCTCTCTGCCTCCCACCTGGCAGCTAGCAATTTGTTCTCTGTATCTATGAGTATGAATTTTTTGATTTTTGGCTTTTGAGGGTTTTTTTTCAATTCCACATATAAATGAGATCATACAGTATTTGTCTTTCTCTGTCTGACTTATTTCACTTAGCATAATCCCCTCAAGGTCCATCCATATTGTTGCAAATGGTAAGACTTTCAGCTTTTTTATGGCTCAATAATATCCTATCATATATAAGTACCACATTTTCTTTATTCATTCTTCCATCAGTGGATACTTAGGTTGCTTCCATACCTTGGCTATTGTAAATAATAATGCTACATAATCAGCTTTATAAGCTGCTTTTAGCTCATCAATGTGTCTTGGAGTTTTTTTCATGTTATTGAACCTATAAATACACAGCAACCTTTAAACAACTACATAATATGCCAGTGAATGGACATATCATAATTTATCTAACCAATACCAGTGGACACTGTTATTTTCAAAATATTATAAACAACCCTGAAATGAGTATCTTTACACATTTTTCTTTAGGCAATTAACATAAGTGCCTAGTAATGTAAATGACTGAGTCAAAGGGAGCACAGTATAAGTTTTTATATATTTATCATGTCCGTCTTCCCAAAACACTGAGCCAATTTACACTTCTGCCAATTGTGCTGGAGTTCCCAGTTCTCGTCTCCTTTCCCCTGCACTGAATATTGCCCCACTCTTCTTTTTATAGGATTTTCTGAGCCATTCTGAATTTCACCTGAAATTTAAAGGATTTTTTAAAAATTTTTAAAAAATCCTTGGCAATCAGATGGGTTAAAAGTAATATCCTCTACTTTTGTTTTGTTCTTTTTTGGATTACTAGTAAGATTGGATATTTTTAATTACACTTAATGGCTTCTTGAATATCTTCCTTTGTAAACTGGGTTCTCAGTTCATTTTTCTATTGTGATGGTCATCTTTTCATATTGATTTGTAATATCTCCTTTTACAGTAAAGATATGAATCTGTTTTTGTTTTTGTTTTTGTTTTTTGCGGTACGCGGGCCTCTCACTGTTGGGGCCTCTCCCGTTGCGGAGCACAGGCTCCGGACGCGCAGGCTCAGCGGCCATGGCTCACAGGTCCAGCCGCGCCGCGGCATGTGGGATCTTCCCGGACCGGGGCACGAACCTGTGTCCCCTGCATCGGCAGGCGGACTCTCAACCACTGTGCCACCAGGGAAGCCCGATATGAACCTTTTGACTGTCACAGATGTTGCAAATATTTTCCCCATACTTTGTCTTTTAGCTTTGTTTATATGGTGGGTGGGGTGGTTTATAAAAATACAAATTTTGAATTTTAATGTAATCATATCTGTTAATATTTGGCATCACGATTTCAGACTTTCCTGCCATGCTTGACAAGGTCTTTCCCAACACAAGAGCATTAAAACTATTAATCTATGTTTTTAAATACCTATATCAATTTCCTTTCCATGTTTAAATTTTTGACAAATCAGGGATTTATCTTGTTGAAAGGACAAGGTAGTAATCCACCTTAGTTTTATTTCCCAGATGGCTAACAGTCTATTTTTTCCCCCATATTTATAAGATGGCTGTTTATCCTGTGTTAAATTTTCATGCCTTTGGGATCTATTTCTGGATCCTCTAAGCTGTAGCATTGATTGGCCTGTGCATTCTGGACTAGTGCTCCACCCTTTAGTGACTCAAGCCTTATCACACTTTACCATGTGGTGGTAATCACTCTTTTTTTTTTTTTTTTTTTTTGCGGTACGCGGGCCTCTCACTGTTGTGGCCTCTCCCGTTGCAGAGCACAGGCTCCGGACGCGCAGGCTCAGCGGCCACGGCTCACGGGCCCAGCCGCTCCGCAGCATGTGGGATCTTCCCAGACCGGGGCACGAACCCGTGTCCCCTGCATCGGCAGGAGGACTCTCAACCACTGCGCCACCAGGGAAGCCCCACTCTTCTTTTTATAGGATTTTCTGAGCCATTCTGAATTTCACCTGAAAGAACATTTTGCTCAGTCCTTATACCTTCCCCCACTTTTGAGGAAATTACATTGAGTTTATCGATTAATTTGGAAAAGTTACCCTACTGAAGCCTTTAACCAAGAATAAATTATAGCTCTTTACTGATTTCAGGTTTTCTCTGATGTCTATTGGTAAAATTTTACAGTTGTCCTTAAAGGGGTTCTGCTTAAAGTTTGATTTTGCTGCATTTGCAAATAGGATTATTTTCTCATTATATTTTCATTGTTTTGTTTCAAAATTTAATGGAAATTCTTCTAGTGTTTCGCCATGATACTGGTGCGTGTTTTGAGAAAAAAATCATTTTAATCATGTTAAATAAATGGCTTCCTATCCTACTTAACAGCTATTATTTTTATAAATCAATATTAAATTTTTATCAAATAACTTTTGATCTCAAAGTGATCAGAAGGTTTATATTTTTGACTCATTGATATATATTTAAAAGATGTATAATATTAAACCATCCTTCAATACTAGGAATGAGCCCTCACTTGGTTATTGTGTATTATTATTCTAATGTTATGCTGGATACTATCTGCTAGTTTTCATGCAGCCATTTTCATCAACTCAAAGTGAGATTGGTCTGAATGTGTTATAATTGTTATGGTTTGGTTTCCTTCTTTCACTCTTATCTGCAACCATTTAAATAGCATAAGAATAGCCTGTCTCTTAAAGGTCTGAAAGAATTTCTGCATGAAACCTCTTGGTCCTGATGCTTTATTTAGGCATAGTTACACAGATGTTAACAGGAGTTGTATTTTCATTGTGGAGTGTACCTTTCACCATTATAAAGTGACCCTCAAGCTCAGCCTGGTAATAAAGTGGAAGTGATTTGGAGGAACTGGGGGAGGAAGGAAAGGACTGATTATTGCAATGACCCAGACACAACAAAGAGAGGGTCCAAAGTAGTCGCAGTGAGGCGGAGGGGAGGTAAATGATACAGAAATGTCACAGAGGTAGGTTTCATCTTCACTTTTTCGAGCAATCTAAGAAGTCAGAGCCTCTTCCTGCAATTAGCTCCCCACGGTATGTGCTTTCTTCTTATTCTTGAATTGTCTCATATTTACGTCATATGTCATCAATTAAATTGTTAGCTCCAGAAGGAAGGGTGTCTTATAATTCTTTGGATCCTTTAAAGCCCACTCCTGGACATACACCAGTTAACGCCCTACCTGATTGATTGATTCATTCGTTACAATAGGATATTGTTATAATGCCGCTCACCAGGAACAGGGAAATTAATGGCATTATGTGTTTTCCGCGTTAAAGTCGTGAGATTAGAAAGAAAGGCAGAACTAACTGCAAAAGAGGAGTGAACAAAGCTACAATATGAGAGAGGCTCTGTGGTGCTGATTATTGCTGGATTACCACCTCTCATACCAACCAAGGGCTTCCTCCCCCTTCTCTAAAGAGCACCTTGCAGGTATGACAACAACCACAGCCCTTGGAAAAGGGGTGGCAAAGGCCACCACTTGAGAAAACTCAACTACTATTAGAATGACCACAAACTCTAAGTCAAGTGGCCGATCAGGGGGCTTTAACAAATTAACTGTGATGCTGGCAGTTCTCACGCCCACCGAATGCTTCATACGGACTGGTTTGGGGGGAGCTAAGCCACAAAGGACTGGCCTGGAAGGACAACGGCAGGAGACTCACCAGATTGTCCAGCATCCTCATGAGGGCCTCGAACTCGTGCTCCCCCAGCCGGCTCTTCTGCATGGGCCCGAAGGTGCTCCCCGCCCACTGCACGGAGCCCACCTCGTGAGGCCGGTGCTTCTCCTGCTCCAGGAGGATGAGGTTCTCCACGCCCCCCGCGCTGGACAGAGCAGACACCTGCGCAAAGGGCAGAGAACGCTCAGCTCACACACACGGGTGTGCGCGTGTACACACACATCCCTGCGCGTGTACCTGTGCTCCTCTGTGTAACAGAGAATGGAGATCAGGGAAGATTAGAAACAGAAGTGTCTGGAAAACTGAGCTGTAGTTGGTTATTTCCTCCCAGAGGAGAGCCCCTCCAAACTTGTAGGGCATGTGCCCATTTCCAGGGAAAGAGGTGTTAGTATTTCTTTCCTAATGTCAGTTCTTAGGGGGACATAGCAAGTGTTAAACCTCAAGAATAAAGCAATGCAGAGTCCTGAAAAATTACCTGGGATACAGACCAACCTCAAATTGTGATTATTTCTGGGGAAGGAGGGAAGATGAGAAAAGGGGACTTCAATTCTTGTCTGTAACATTTTACTTCTTCCAGAGGAAAATGCCATTGATATTTGTTAAATCTGGTTGGTAGCAGGTGTCGATTATATGACTCTCTGCACTTTTCTGTATGTCTGAAATATTTCTCCTCAAAAAAAAAAAAGGTCACTTGAAAGAAATAAGCTGCCTTCTAGGCCAGTGAAATATGAGTGTAGCTGCATGTTGGGCTAATTACAGGTCTGAAGGCAGAAGACCCTCCATGATGGCGTTATCCAGTCAAGGAAGCCCAGAGAGAGGAGACACATGAAATGCTGACCGTCACAGCCGGGCACTGTGTAGGCCTTAGGAAGCTTTTACTAGAAGACTTAGAGCGTTTGTCCCACTGTCAAGGCTCCATGGGGAGGGGACGATCCACGTGGCTACAGGCAACAGACTCTGACTTTTAGGGCAAGTGGTGTGTGTATAAAGTAGGCAATTTTAGAACGATCCTAAAAACATTCATGAATCCAACTGATCTTATTCTCTAATTCCATGCTCATCTAAAAGCACATTCTATTTACTCCCTGTATCTGCCACTCAGATATAATTGGTCATGGTTCGGCTTCCTGGGTAAGTCCAGAGAGAGATGGTGCTTTCCGAGTATTGTAGGTAGTGAAGCTGGAGTTTTACACTGCACATCAAGACCCCAGCATTCTGATTAATATTTGATATCCCATGTAAACCTGCTTGTTATGGGGGAACGGCTCTGATTATATAAACTTTCAGTGTTCCAGCTTTTGTGCCAGTTATTGTTTCACTGAAAACGAAAAGAATGCAGTGTAGCTTGCTGACAAACACGGGTCTATGAACACATGAGGATCCTGGACACACTCCAGAGTGTGTTAAATTCACCAGTGTAACACGTGGCCCCTGTGAGACTTCCTAGAGGTCAGGCAGGCAGCGTTTCCAAGGTGACCCCCATCACTCTGTGAAGAGGAAGAAGCAACAACAAGCATTTCCACGCTCTCTTCAACCAAGGCATGTGTCCTACGGAAGCCTCCATTTTTATCTTAAAAAGATGACACCACACCCTACAAATATAGAGACTTCGAGGCCTTTTATTCCATTCTCTCACCAAAAATGAGTCCTTGTCTAGTATCCCTAGAAGTGGTCAGCTCCGTGCCTGTTGTCCAAATGTTAGAAGGGTTACAGTGAGTTGATATAGATTACCCTGAGTTGAAATCTACCTTTTTATTATGTTCATTCACTGGTCCCAGTTCTGCCCTCTGCTGACCGTGTTTTCTAATTCTGAAGTCCCTCACACCTGGCACCGCGGCTGAGCACCTGGAAACGCACTCTCAAAGCTAGTGAGTCCCAGCTGGTTGATCAATTACCAACTTCATCCTGGACCCCTACCTGGCCAAGGCAGGGCTCCAGCTCTGGGACCCTGAAAGCCTGACTTGCAGTGCCAGCTCCCTGAAGAGAGGTCCCAACCTGACAGCTGACCTTTCCCACCGACGCTTGCCTTCCTGAGAGGCAGTGCAATGTGGTGTTTAGGACATAGGACCTGGGTACCAGGCTGTCTGGGTTTGGATCCTGGCTCTGCCACCTACTTGCTGTATGACTTTCAGCAGCTATTTACCCTCCCTGTGCCTCAGCTTTCTCATCTGTAAAATGAAAATAGTATCTACCTCGTGAGGATTATTTAAGGTAATATTCGTAAAGCACTTAGAATAGCACCTGGTGCATACGGGGTGCCGTAGAAATATTTATGATAAATAAATTCTGAGGTTTTACCATGAAAGGCTGAGAAGCAATACCCCCTGGAGACTAGTCATTCATAGAGGAGGAGAAAACTGCCCACACCCTTGCAAGAGCTGCCTCCTCTCACCTCCCCCTTCCCCCATCCGTTTCCATGGCGATGGGTAGCAGATGGAGAATCGCCTGAGCTTCTTCTCATCTGCCTGTGAACAGAGCAGGGAGCTGCCTCTCTCAGCAGAGGATGACCCAGTTTCCTGGAACCCCAAACTGATGGGGAGCAAAGAGAACGCTGTCCCCAGGAGAATGGAATAGGCTCTTAGCCTCGAACCGCTGAAATGACCATGGACGCATTGGCTTGTTTGCCAAGGCCACTGAGGGAGAACACTAGTCATGATGGAAACAGAATTTCGGTGCTGGTCATTTGACCAGAAATGACCCTTCCAGGGACTGCAGTCCCAACAGCATCTGCAGGCTGCCGTACCTGGGCTCTTCCGAGCCTTAATGCACCCACACTCTTCGTCCAATCTCTCCCGTTTTTTTCCCACAACTTCCAGCTTCATTTCACCCTCTAGAAGCCTTCCTGCTCCACCTGCTGAAAAAAATCCACTGGCGCTTTCCTCGGGTTATCTGTCCCCATCGCCTGATGCGCTTTTAAAAGGTTACATCAAACCAGTCCTGACTGAAAAGGAAGTGACAGCAGACAGGGCCAAGAGAAGCAGCTGGGGCTGTCCAGGAAAGTGGCTGGCAGCTCTGCCTTCATCTCCCCAGCTGCTAGATGGCCCTCTTCCCTTTGCTTAAATTGCACAGTGGCCATTTCTGGGGATCTGGAGCCTGGGGAAGGCATCCTTCACCGTGTGGTGGGGGGGGACACCTGGGAACCTCTCTCCATTCATTCTTTTTCATGAGATATTTTCTCATGGAAGCCTCTTCTTCAGAAGAAAGATGGGCAACTCTTCAGATGTGGAGAAGGGAAAGTAGGCATATCAGAGGCTCTGCCAGGTTCTAACAACACTCAGGGGTCAGAGTTCAGGGCCAGCATTATTGGATGGGGGATGGGGAGTCAGGAGGGTCTCACACCACCTCCTCTAACATTTCTTCATCACTGTCCTCTCAACATATCCTTCAAAAACCACTGAGAAAGGTCCCACTTGTAGAGCCTCCTCTAGTGATGCTTCTGGGATTATCCCATTCTTCCCCCATAACACCCAAGAGAGGGGCAGGCCGTCTTCCGCGGGGCACTGCTCTGCCCAGACCAGCCAGGAGAGGGCAGATGGGACACCAGAAGGGTCCTGAAAAGAGCCGACTCACCCTGGAGCAGCTAGCCTCTCCCTCTGTCAACCGAGTCCTAAAAATACCATCGGCAACACCTCTCCTTGTCTGAAAGGCCATCCTCACAAGGTCTCTCTAGACCCAGGTCTGAGGTTGAGGAAATGGAGGCTTGCAGAGGGCAAGTCCCTGACCCCAGAGCACAGAGCACAGGCTGGGAAGGATGGAGCCCAGTCAGTCGTGCAAGACCCCCCTACTCACCTGACGGCTTGCCACACTGGAAGGAGCATACGCTTGGCTTATCCAACACTACCTGGTAATTTGATGAAACTACAGGATGTGTGTTTTCCTATTCCTTCTCCATCAGGTCTTCTAGGGGTCCCACGACTACTGACACTCCCCACCCACCCTCTATCTCATCCTTTACCAGTTAGGAGAACTTCACCATGGGCTCCCTGGACATCACCCTGGGGCTGCCCTGGGGTCAGGCCTGCCATGTCAGCACTCTACTTTGGCCTTTCCACTTCTCTTTCTGGACTTGACCACATTCATGGTCTTTACAAACTACCCTTCTCCAAACAAAGAAAAGAAAGAAGACTTACCTGTGTGGTGTCTGTGGGGCACAGCTAGAGGTAACAGGTACACCCCAGGTTATACAGGAGCATGGGAAGTACAGTTCCTCCCACTGTCTTACTGATGAGCCCAGGCAGCTCCCCCTCCTGAGCACTGATCCCCAAGAGTTGGGTGCGGGTTGTTAGACAATGGAGGTAGAAAATTTTAAAGGTACAAAACTGATTCCAAATGTGAAACTTTAGAAGAATCAGGTGGTGCCAAGGCAGAGAAATAGGGTGAGGCTTTCAGAGGGCCCCACTCAAAGGTCTCCCTAAATCACGGCCCACGGGGCTGCCACCCTTGTCCCCAGGCCCCTGTCAGGGTCCCTCCTGGGCCCACACCCCAGAGGAACTTGCTCACCTGTATCTCACACGCAGCCTGCAGGTGGAAGATCTTATAAAACGCCTCCTCTACGGTGTCCCCCAGAGCAACCACTCCATGGTTTCTTAGCACCAGGATCTGCACAGGAGCAGACAGCCAATGAAAACTTTAAGCCTTCCAAACTTGAGTTAAGAGGGAGAGAGTTTTCATTTTATTCAGATCAATTTCATAGTCAATCCTGGAGCACACGCCCCCCCCCCCAATTCCTTACTCATTCTCCCTGTACAAACACCGAACGCTACCCACCCACCCCATGAGTTTTAATATCCACCCAAAAGAACGTTTAACGCATCCACCCTAAAAATTACTTGCTGTTGAATACAAGGGTCCTACCTCAAAAGCACTTGCCCCCCTGTAACTCAGTGGGCTTGTGAGTCAAACCCAAGGGGGTGGCCCTCTGAGAGGTGTCTCTGCAGACACAGGTGAGTTGGGTTCCCTGGTTTCTGGCCCTCAGGCTTCCATGAAAGAGGCCACAGTGACCTTCTAATCTAACTTACTAGTTTTACTGATGAGGAAAGAGAAGCCTAAAGAAATTGAAAGTCTCCCAGCTAATTAGGGGCAGAGTTGGAACCAGAACCCAGGCTCCCCCTGATGGAGCGATGTTTGTAGCTCAGCCAGGGGCAGGCAGATCTAAAAGGGGGAAAAAAACAGAAATGAGTTTATACCAAGGTCCAGGTGCACCCTCCCTGTTGGAAACTCTTCTTGGTTGGTTTTATCCTTGAGAACTCTCTGAAAGATACCCAGGTGACACCCACCTGGGAGTTGGGCCACAGACCCACGTATCAGATCTGTCCTTGCAGCACCTGGGCTGGGGCCCAGTGGCCTAATCTTCACATCCACTCTCACTGAAAACAGCGGGAGTTTTTTCGTCTCAAGAGCCAGAGAGATGGAAAGAGACCGTGACTTTTGCTTACAAGATTTTGCAGATCTTTTGTGAATGCCCCATCTCTTAAATTTTTGTACCATTTCACAACTGTGAACATCACCCCTCTCCTGGCACTGCTAATGAGGCTTCAGAGAATGGCAGGGATTTCTGCTCTATGTGAGAGATGGGAAGACAGGGACTCTCAGATGGAAAATGACTCCAGGAGTGAGTGCCTTTCAAGGAAGCGGGCAAGCGCCCACCCACCCAGGCTTGGCTATGAAACTTCCCATCCTAAGCTCAACAGCCCTAATTACATGCTGTTATAAAAGAGGCCTTCAGACTTAAATCAAGCAATAATAATGAGATTCTGTTTCTCTCTATCAAGTTAGCAAAAACAAAAAAAGTGATAAGAGTCAAGTTTGGGGAGACTGTAGGGAAATGGCATTCTCAAGTACTAGTCATGGCCGGAGGAGAGGACAATTTGGTACTATGAAGTAAGAGTTTATCCTAAGGAAATCATCCCAAGCAAATACAAAGATGTAGCTGAAAGAATTTTCATCACAGAGTTGTTTATATTCAGAGAATATTTGGGGCAAAACTTTTCAATGTCCAACCATAGAGGACTGTGTAGGTCAATAGTGGCGCAGCCATTCATACAATGAAGAATAATTTAAACTAGTGATTAGAACGTATTTAGTAACATACAAGGGCGTTTACTGTATATCGCTAAGGGGAAAGGGAGAATATATTTTATAATCCTAGTTTTGTAAATCTATATGAATAGTTATGGGGGTGTGCACCCAAATCGCAGGGTAGGGTGAGTTTTATGTCATTTGTCGTTATTGCTGTTTATCTGCAACTTATAAACATTTTCCAATGAACATTTGTCGCTCTTGTGATGTCGGTTTTTGACAATCCCACCCAGAGCATCGTCCCAGAACAGCTGAGCCGAACCTTGCAGGTGGGTCCAAGGCACTTCTGCAGGTTGATCCGATCGGCTTCCTGCTCCATCTCGCCGTTGAAGTCATAATAGGCCATGTCCCCCACCAGCAGGGCGTTGTGGGACACCGGCAGGAGGCCCCACCTCATGGCTGACACCTGTAGTGAGACGACGGAATGAATGTTTAGCGCAGCAGCTCCACCCCCCTCCTCGCCCCTCTGTCACAGTCGCCCTGGCCTCAGAGCAGCACAGTCAAGTTCTGTCTGGGGACGTGGCAGGGGAGGGAGCGAGCGCACGAGGAAAGGCACCCCCTCCCCTTGGCGAGGCTCTTGCTTTCTCACTACTTCCTCTAAAGCCTTTTCATCACACTTTTCCCAGCTGCCACGTCAAGACATCACCTTCTAAAACTGCTGCAAAGCATACGCTCGAGGGATGGCGTGCTGCTGCCCACCCCTGCTTGGCTCTTGTCCTAGGACCCGGGAAGAGGCAAGGCTGGTGGAGTTGGCACCAGGCAGGGCTGAAGCAGGGTCCAGGGTCCCTGGGGTGGGTTGTGCGAGACCCCCAGCCTTGGGTCAGTGTATCAACAGCCACGACTCTTCACTAACAGGGAGGCCCATTGAGAAGCCCCCATTTTACCGGCAACGGAGCAATGCAAGTGCCAGAGAGCAGGGTTAAAACGCAGGCTGAAATGGCCATGCCCCAAACCCCACCTTTTATTAAAAGCAAGGAGCGTGGAGAGGTTAGGAGAGCCGCTCGCCCCCCTTCACTCATCTTGCCCCTCGTGTAGGCCCCGGCTCTGCAGAAATGGATACTTGGCACGAATACAACATGCAGTCTTAGTCCGAATTCTGGAAGGTCTGAGTGCTTGTAAGTGGAGTGATTTGCGGAAAAAACCACAGGCCAGTGACAGGTCTTTTTTGCCCCTGTAGGCATGTGGCCTGGGGGTGAGGGTTGAGGGAACACCCAGACTGGTTGTCTGCTGTCTTTCCAGGTGCACCGCAGCGTCTCAGGTAGACATGGAGAAATGCCCAGAGACCCTTGGGGGACAGCTTGCTCCTTGAGGGTCTTCCCTCTGCTCTCTCCCAGTTCCCAGACACTCAGAAGTTGCTGCCACCCAAGCCTGTGGCACTGGTTTGCGTATGTAGCAGGTGCGGGGTGCAGCAGGGAAGACTTTACACATCTTCACCTTGTCTCCCCTCACCTAGACTTCCATAGTTAGAAAATGCAGAGGAGGAGGTTCCCATGTTGGGTGTCCCCTCCTCACCTTGCTCTGAGTTCCAGGGAATCTTTCCAGAACTGTTTTATATGGCGAGTTTGCTCCTAGCTTGGGGGCTTATGTCTTTCTTCAGGGAGACCCTCAGAGAGACAGGTGCCATGGGTCTGCCGCCAGCCTCGGGGACTGAAATGCTGGCTGAAGAGCTGACACTCACCGCCGCCGTGGCCGGAGTATGCAGGTGGATGACACAGCGCACGTCGGGTCTGGCGGCGTAGATGGCCGAGTGCAGGCAGAAGCCCGTGGTGTCCACTGGGAAGCAGCTGCTGCCCTTCTCCACCACCTCTCCCAGGATGTTCACCTTGATCTGGGCCGGGGCGAAGAGAGACTTCCGGCCACCAGCAGGCAGAGGCCCCTCATTCCCCTCCCCGCAGGTGGGCCAGGCACATGCCCACCCACCTGTGTCCACTCTCCACCATACCACGGGCAATGGACGTGCTTTATGTGGGGGGCAAGAGACCCCATTCCTGCCTGCAGGGTGAGCACACAGGCTACTGGGAAACAAAGGCGATTATAATTCAGCATTGAAAAATGCTAGAGCAGAGTTTCTCAAACTATAGTCACCTGGATGCAACTAGAGATTATCATACTAAGTGAAGTCAGTCAGAAAGAGAAAGACAAATACCATATGATATCACTTATCTGTGGAATCTAAAATATGACACAAATGAACCTATCTATGAAACAGAATCAGGGACATAGAGAAGAGACTGGTGGTTGCCAAGGGGGGAGGGGTTGGGGGAGGGATGGAGTGGGAGGCTGGGGTTAGCAGATGGAAGCTTTTATATATAGAATGGATAAACAACAAGGTCCTACTGTATAGCACAGAGAACTATATTCAATATCCTATGATAAACCATAATGGAAAAAATATATAAAAAAAGAATGCATATACATGTATAACTTTGCTGTACAGCAGAAATTAATACAACATTGTAAATCGACTGTACTTCAATTTTAAAAAATTGATCTTAAAAAAAGAATCACCTGGAGATCCTGTCAAAATGCAGATTTGGATTCCGTAGGCCAAGAACTCGGCCTGAGAGTCTGCATTTCTAACAAGATCCCAGTGATAGCCCTGCTGCTGGTCCACGGACCACACTTTGAGTAGCAAGGTGCAAGAGCAGAATCATTCACAGAATTCTCTAGAAGCAGATAGGAGGAGGCTTTAATTCCTCCTATTAAAGGGAAGAACATCTAAACTGAGCCTTTTTCCTTTTTTTCCCACTTTTTATTTTGAAAAATTTTTAATCACACACAGAGGTAAAGAGGATCATATAATGAACACCCATTTACCAGGCACCCGAAAGCTAGGTCTTAGAGGACACATGGAGAGCAGTCACTGCCTTACAATCTGCTTTTGACTCCAAGGGGTTGTGGGTGTCATGGTGAAAACACACGCGCATGCGCACAAACACACACACACACACACACACACACACACACACACAACTGCTGGTCGCTGCGGCTGACCTGGCACCTACCTAAGCCATGGCGCTGCCTAACATTAACAATCTCATAGAACATCATCCCCAGAGACGGCCACTTTTGACTGTGACACAGAAGACAAAAGCCACTCCTTAATCGCGTCTAAGCACAGACAAAAACAACTTTGTGTCAATGTAAAAATGCACCTGAACTCGACTTCTTCTGCTTCTAAGCCAGTCCCTAGACTGCTCTCCTCTCCCCCCACCCCCGCACCCAGAAACCTTTCCTGATCGAAACCGATTCTGGAAGTTTCTTCCTACCACGCCTAAAAGGGGCAGGAGGACAGAAAGGGGGCCCAGAAGCTCTCTCTCTGGGCACCGGCACTAGAAGAGTCTTGCACTGCTTTGGGACAAAGCACTGGCTGTTGTTCTAATGTATCCCCTCAGCTGGAAGGCTTCCCGACTCCCAGCCTTTGTCCAATCCCAGGCTCAGAGGCCTCCAGGCTCATCTCTTCTCCCCTCGCCCTCCCACTGCACTTGCAGCCTGCACCTCCCATTTCGTCTCTTGATCACATCATGCTCTGCGCTCAGTTTGTTTTGCGTCCATGTGACTTCTCTGTCCCACTAGATTGCAAACTGCAAGAAGGACAGGATGGCAGTGGCTGCCTTGGAGATGACCTCTCACCGTAGGAGCAGAGAGAGTACTGTCATCTCAGCAAGAAATGGGTGGTGACAGGCCGGACTGTACTCACCAGGCTGGATGCTGTGACTTCGTTGCACGAAACTCCCTTAGGGCTGATCAGGAAGTGGTCCTGCTCCTTGCTGACCCTCAACTGGAGGAAAGACACGTGTTCTCAGAGGCAAGGAGGGAGAGGGGTCATTTCCAATGCCATACTGCTTGAATCCCCTCTTTCCCTAAATCCACTGCACCCAAATCTTCCCCCCAAGAACCCTTACTTCTCCCTGACCCATAAGAGATGAAGAGGACTCAGCTTTATTTGGAGCTGGGGAAATGGAACTACAGGAGGAATCTCCCAATGGTCAAGGGTAGCCCTAGAAATAGGATCCAGAAATTCCTGGCTCCTCATCCGGAGAAGTGCCCACTGGGCAGGTTATCTGTCTCAGGAAACCACAGTGGTTAGAAACCTTGGAAGGGCTCATTGAATTTTGGCCAAAGGCCACCAGCAGTGCCATGGCCATGCCAAAGATAAGGAGTTTTCCCTTTGGATTTGGTGGGGGTCACACACATTGCCCCACCTCACCCCCAAATGCTCTCCTTACCGTGACGTAGGTGTCACTCAGCTGGGCCCAGCCGTACAGGTCCAGGAGGCGGTAGACACTGCTGATCTTACACCGCATGAGCCGCTCCCCCTTGGCCAGGTTCAAGGAATCGGCTGTGTGGAGGTCATTGATGGGCGTCATCATGGAGAAGTCTGCAGGGGCACAGGGCATCTTTTGGGTCAGGGGTTCCCGTCTGCCCTCCCTTGCCCTGCCCCCGTCCTCTCAAATTCTCACTGGCACTACAACCACACACGAGACTTCAGGGAATTCAACATTCTTTGACCCTGACTCCAGAGGAGAAAATCCACAGAATGGATAGCTGTGCCCAATAAGGTCCTCTGCTCCTTCGGGGAAGAACGGCATTGCTTTCGGTCAAAAATCATGGCCAGACTCAAGGCCACAGAATGAAAGTTTCTCTGAAGGCCAAGCTCACCACAAACCCTAGAGATGGACATTGAATAAAAGCATAAATAAATTTCTGAGTGGAAATACGAGTATATTTTATCAGTTTTAATGAAGAAGTTACTAATCATTATCATATTGTTTTAACTATACCATGTAATATAACTTTTTCTCTAATTTGGAAACAGGGCAGACAGAAAGTCAAGTCAACCAGGAAGTAAATTCGTCAAGTTTTTCTGACAAGTCATGGACTTCCAGAAGTCCGTGTAGCTGTGCTGGCTGAGGGGCTGGAGGCCTCAGGTGGGCCACATCTGCTCCCCTCTGGATATGCAGTCCCTTGGTTAGTTATGGCTCTTTTGGGGAATTCAGAGGGATGTGGAAGTAATAGGGAAATGAGCCTAGAGCATTTGATAGTCAGGGCACCCAGAGGGTCTAGGAGTTGACGCTCAGTCTGTCCCATTAACCACGATGACCGCTGCCTGCATGCCTCAGGAAGGCAGAAGAGGGCATCTGAGACCCAGAACTCCAATTAATCAGTGTCTAGGAAACAATAAAAGAATCAATAGGAAAGGGTTCCGGCTTAAGATGATGTCTGGCTGGGAGCCTCCTGATGCTGTCTCTCCCAGCTTCCCACTAAAACCGTTAATGGATTAAAATGCTCTTTGGAAGCTTCCACCAGCTCCATAAACCTCACTGTCACGCCATGTGATGTATGTCCTCTACCAGGTTTGCCATTAGTTGAAATGACGACACGGTCTGCAAATATGAGGGTGGACTGGGGGCCAAAGCAAGCAGAGCAAGCCTTGAACACCCCATGTCAGGAAGATGCCCCCAAAGGGCCTGTGCCCACCAACGGGGGTACGCCTCCAGTGCATGTGTCCAGTACACGAAGTTGACAGGGACAGTAGTGGTCCAAAGGCCCAGCTAAACTGGCAAGGGGAGCAACAACGAAACCCAAGAATCAAGGGTTTCTAATTCAAACTGACCAACCTGGGATGCCTGCCTCCTCTCTAGTTCCCCAGATAAGTGTTTACCTCTTTGCTTTACCCCCTGCAGCAAGCTGGGAGGCATATCCAAAGCATAAGGCCCCCAGACAAAGCTGGAAGGGAGGGAGGCTATTGTTGGGAGAGCCTTCAGACCCAGAGTCCTTTGAATCCTTCTCCTAGAAATAACTATGGAGCCCCAGAGATGGCAGGAGGCCAGAATAGGACTGAAAACACTCACTCTGTCATGTCCTCTGTGTCCCGTATCAAAGAGTCCCCTCCCCAACCCTGTGGAGCTTCCCCATGAGGACTACCCACCCACAGGCCCAGAATAGACCAGAGGGATCCACAGGAGTCCCCAGTCCTCTGTGCTCAGGGTCTTCATAGAAAGAACGCTTATTCTGACCAGCCTCACTAAAGTGAAAATCTAACTGGGCCATTATTTCAAAGTACCTAAGAAAACACAGAAAAAGGTGAAAATCCACCAAACCCCCTGAAAGCTAAGCCTGAAGGACACACTATTTAGAAAAAAGAACAAAAACAAAACAACCAAAAAACCCAAAACCAACCAGGCAAAGAAAATTCTAAGGCAAATGGACAAAGAACAACCTCTCCGGGCTTGAACTCCGGACACGTGAAAGGTTCCCTCTCCACATTCCCTGACTCAGATACCCTGGCACCAACAAGATTTTCAGGCATCCAACTGTTTTCCTGGCAGCTGCTGATCAGTGAGGTGATAGGAATGCTGGTCAGCCCTAGTTCTCTCTCAAAAGGAAGAGTATAAGGTCAGAGATATGAAAGTGATGAGAAAGAATATGATAGATATGGGAGACAAAGACCAGAGGACCTGGCATATAAGTTATAAGTACTGATATAATAGAAGAAAAAATTCAGAATTGAAAAAAAGACCTATATATATATATAAACTGAAAGAACTTACTGCATTTCAGGGGAGAAAAGTCCATTAAAAGAAAAGCCTACAATTATATGCTTCCTGACACAGTCTTGAAATACAAGGGTAAGGGGGAAAATCCACAAGCACCTAGAAAAAAAATTGGTTACCTACAAAGGAACCAATAATAGACTGTTTCAGACTTCTCTGCTACAGCAACAGATGTCAAAGACAGTACTATAGGAGATTTACAAAAACTAACAAATACTACAATAAAGTGACACAAAACAGGTAAAAATAAAGGGACCATCAAAAGTATGCCAAGGCAAATATAAACAAAAAGATAAATAGAACCATAACATGATCAAAGTAGAAGCCAAGGAAAAGGATATTCTTTTGGACAAAAAGGATCATTTTGTAGGTCATTTTACATGGATTAAAGGCATAATCCATAATGAAGATATAGCTATAAAAACATGTATACTTTGAAAAGCGTTTCAAGATATTCAAAGCAAAAGCTATCAGAAACAGAGAGAAATGAACAGAAATCAAATACAGTGGGAGACATTAATTCTTTATAAAATCAAAAACAATAAATGAGGATGAAGATTAAATACTATGTCCCAGAGATAGAGTCTACACCCATATATCATTTAAGTATGATATTATTAGGGCACAAAGAAAATCTCAATAAATCCCCAACATAGACATTAAGTAGGCTACATTGTCTAAACATAATGCAATAAAACTAGACATTATCAACAAATCTTTAAAAGAATACAAATTCCAACGCTTAGAAATGAGAAAACACACTCTCGGAGTGTGTTTATTTTATTTTAGAATAAAAATAAAACCAAAACAGCAACTGCAAACTACCTAGAAATTAACAATAAAGGAAATACTACATGTCAAAATTTATGGGATAAGACCAAATTTATACTCAGAGAAAAAAATTCATAGTCTTAAATGCCTTTATTATTGAATTAAATATGAAAATAAATCAAATCCATTCTATTCTATTGTACAAAAACATAAAGAACAAAATAAACCAAAGAAGAGTTATGGAAAAGAATTAATGAGTATAAAAACAAAATCAATAAATCAGAAAACAAGAAAGTTAGTAGAACCAATATGTAAATCCAAGAATTGGCTTATGTGAGAAGATCTATGAGGAAACCAACATCTGGATTGGCCAATAAAGAGGAAGTGGGAATACACAGCACAGGGAATGAGAATGGGATGTCATATCCACAGTAGAAGGTTTAAGTAATAAAAATAATATTGTAAATCAGGCTAATAATTTTTTAAAGGCACATGAAATGGATTATTTTACATAAAATATGACCAAAATTTACTCAAGAAGCAGCAAAATAAAATTTTAAAGAATTTTAAATGAAACAGAAAAAAAATGTTATCCAAATATTCCATATCTGGATAGCTTTATAAGTGAATGATAAATCTTAAAAGAGCAGAGACTTCCTATCTAATTTAAACTCCATTAGGGCAAAGACATGGGTGGGGATCACCCTGATTCATCTTAGGAAATTATAGTCTTAATACCAATACTAAACAAAGGCTGCCCAAAAAGTGAACTGCTTTTTATCATGTGTATGGATGCAAAGATTAATAAAATTCCAGCAAATCAAACCCAGAAGAGTATTTTTAAAAGAATGCATCAAAACCATGAATGATTTATTTCAGGAATGAAAAAAAGAGTTCAATATTCAGAAATCTATTAATATAATTCACCACATCAAGGAAAGAAAAACCAATAAATACCCAAAATGCATTTTATAAAATTCAATATCCATTTCTGAGAAAAACCCATATTGAACTAGAATACAAAGCTATTTTCTCAACATGATAAAGAATAACTATCTCAAACTCTTGTGGTAAAAAAATTTCCATTGAAGTCAGAAACAAGACAAGGATGATTACTCTCTCATCTATTATTAAACATTGTTCTGAGAGTTCTAACGGATGCAATGAGAAAACTGGAAAAATAAACCAAAGGGTAAATGTTGGATTGAAGGATGCAAAATGACCATTATTTGCCGATTATGTGATTTTTCTATATACAAAGCCCCAAAGAATTGAGAACATACCAGAATTTAAGAGTCCAGTAAGCGGCTAGTTTAAATGATATATAAATACATATATCTCCAACGATTTCCCTAGATGACAGCTATAACCAGAAAAAAAGTTGAATGGAGAATCACTTCAAATGACAAAGTTACATAAAATTTCCAGGATAAACTTAACAAGAAATTAGTAAGGACTATAAGAAAATAACTACTAGCTCTTCTGATGGACATTTAAAAAGATTTAAATAAATAGAAGACACACATCATTTCTGAAAAGATTTAAAATTCATTTATGCACATATTTTTTAAGCACCTGTTATATGCCAGGTGCTACTTTTCTAAGTCCAGGACACTACTCTAACGGTGAACAAAACATATATATATCCTCCCCGCCACGGAGTTTACATTCTAATACAAAGTTGTACATTTATAAATTCTCCACCAAATTAATCTATTCATTTAATGTAATCCCAATCAAAATCCCAAAAGGAATTTTTTGAGGTGGATGGAGAGACCTGACAAAATACTTCTAAAGTCATTTTAAAGAATCAACTTAAACAATGGTTGAGAAAAATTGGCAAATGAATAATTAAGGGTATTTTATTGGATGATAAAACATAGGGAAGGTGTTTCTAAGTATGCAATCAAAAGCAGAAAACACAAAGGAAAATAATAATGGATCCAACTACATGGAAATTAAAGAATTCTGCAACACAAAACATCATGAACAAAATTAAAAGGCAAAGGAGACACTGGAAAAAAATCTGCAATGTATTTGACAGATAGTAGGGAACTAGCCTTACTTTATGATTTTTAAAGCTGTAAGAAAAGAATATGCAAGTAGAAAAATTGGCAAAGGATGTGACAGGCAATTTAGTACAAAAAGAAAATCATGCCCAATATGTATATGAAAATATATTCAATCTCTATAGTAATCAAATGCAGATTAAAACACAAAGTACTATTCATCACCCATCATATCATGAGGATGAAACAAATGGTAACACAGACTACAGATCAGGGTGGAGGAAATGGGTACTCTTGCATTTCTGGTAGGAATGTAAATTCATTCCATCTTTCTCTAGGGTAATTTGGTATTATGCATTGCTGCCTTTAAAACATGCGTATAATTCAGTCTGGCAATTCTACTTCTAGTAATTTATCTTAAGAAAATAGTCATGGATATACTCGCAGATTTATTTACAAGGATGTTTATTGCATTGTCATTCATAATAGCAAAAAGTTGGAAACCACCTAAAAGTCCAAAAATGGGAAACTGATTAAATAAACTGTGGCATATTCAGCCATGTACAGAAGAGTATACATCCACCAAAAATTATGCTATAGAACCATATTTTATTATGTGAAAAATTAGTCAAGATATGCTAAGGCTATTAAATTTGTATGTATAATGCGATTCCACTTTTTTTGGCATAGTCTGTATATGTTAAGAGAAAAAGGCTGGAAGGATATACACCAAAATATTGATAATAGTAATTCCTTGGTTGTAAGAACACAGTACAGTAATTTTTATTACCCTTTCTCAACTATTTTCCTAATTTTCAACTATAATCCTATATTCATCTTGCTGAGGGGAAGTATTTTTCGATGTCTGTTTCTTAAAGGTTGTGGGCAGAGCTTCAGAGCCAAGGAAGATGTGTTCGTGCCTAGCCCTGGCTGCTCTTGGCCCTTGTCTACGGAGTCAGGTTGGCCCGTCCAGTGGAGTGAAGAGACAATGGCTCCAATGGCCTCCCATCTGCCCCCCACCCCTCCCACCCCCCCCCCCCCCCCCCCCCCACCCCCCACCCCCTGCCAACTCCATCTCCAAGGGAGTGACGCCAGGGGATTGAGGGAAGATCAGCCTTAGGGCTGGATGCTGTGAGGACACAAGGATTTTCTTAGGTTCTGTGCCCATAGCTCGAGTAACAGAGAGCAGAATCCTAACTCTCCACTGTCCACTCCTGGGCCTCAAGCAGCGGCCGTGCAAGGGTGCAAGGGACCTTGAGTTGCAAAGCTCTTCCCTCCATGCTAATCCGCTTACGAGGGGTGGGGGTGGAGGGATCATACACAGGCCGCCCTGTCTCTCATTGCGGTGACACGGTGTCATCCTCCGCCCGCCCCCAGCAGAACCCGAACTAGGTTCTCCCTTAAGTCTCCACCACCCACTGCCCTCCGATTTCTGGGCATCAGGCGTAATCCTCCTGGGCTCTTTAAATCGCAGCAGCATCAGAAGCAGAGGCAGGTATCTCTCTGGCTGCGGCCCAGCTCCCCCAGGTCTGTTAATGCAGCAGCAGCGCTCACTGCGTAGGCCGGCGGCAACCAAGCCGTTCTGACTGCGCCTTTCCCTCCTCCACTTCCACTACCTCTGCTCCTGGCAGCTCCCCAGCTCCCCCACGTACTCATGGAAGATGTTGGGAAGACTGCGTGGGAGGTGCTGGCCATGAAGTCCGCGATCTGCCGCAGGGCCCAGATGTTGGAGGAGTTGTTCCCCTTCTTCATCTGCTCCTGGATGAGGCCTTCCAGCTCCTCCCTGAAAGACTGAAGCAGGCCCCCGAGTCGCTGGTCCTCCCAGTGTGCCTCATGTGGGAGACAGAGGGCCCCTCTCCCAAGTGCCCACCCCTAGCCCTTGGGTCAGCTAGGCCAGGACCACATGTGGGATATCTAGGTCCCAGGGGGCACCGGGCAATCCCACTGGGACCTCAGGAGCCTCCCCAGACTGCTGTGTGGGGAGCAGTAAGGAGATGCTGGGAATGAATCCTGTTCCTTTGCCTCATGGGCAATACTCCAGACTCCTGGTCCTTCCTGTGTCTCAGGGATAGCCTAGACCCCCTCCCCTGCCCACCCATCAGACATGGCAGGACTTCACTTTAGTAATTAAAAGACTTTTTAAAAAGCAGAATTGAATGAAAAAGTATGCCATCTTTCCTGTCCGCTAGCCAGGCCGATGGCTCTTCTGGGCCTCAGTTTCTTCATATTCAGGATTTGATGACCTCAGAGGTCACTTCCACTTCTGATGTCCCGCTACTCTAAGCCTGGCTTTTCAGACCATCAGGAGGGCATGCCTGTCCACCAGGTGGCAGCAGGGAACACTCAGGAGGAAATGGGGAGCCACTTAGGTGTTGGGGAATCTACAAAAGGACAGAAGAAGCATGACCTCCTCCTGTCCCCATCTCCTGCCTGAGAATAGAGTCCCATCCTTCAGGCCCCCAAACTTGGGTTGGTACTAACTCTGCCACTTCTCCTACCACACCCGCCATCCCTTCTAGTCTCCCTCAGAGTTTCTGTCATCCCAACGTTTTTAGCAGCTGCCATTTTCCTCCAGACTCCCCAACATGGTGTCACCTGTCACCAAGACCTCGGGCCCATCCCCCTTAGCACTCTTCTGTGAGGCCCGAGCATGTGCTCTCAACCAGGGTCTCAGAAAAGCCGGGTAGTGGCTGAGGCAGATCTCATCCTGGCAGGTACCTGGAGATGCCAGCTCCGCCCCTGAGCTTCCCAACACTTAGGATCATGCACTGTTGCCTGCGGACCCCCCACCTTTACTGCCCTGAGACTCCCCCTTGCCTCTGTCCACACTGCTCTTCCTCCCCCTCCGAGGGCCTGCACCACCCTCCTGCTTCACTGGTCCAGTAGGCCCACCCTCCACCCTCCATCCTCAACGCACCACCTGCCTCAAGGAAGAGCTCTGTGTCCACGCCAGGCAGGCGCCAGCTGACCTCCAGACTCCAGCCACGGCTGGGTGATCCGGTCTTGCCCGCTGTGCCCTCCACTCCCCCACCTCCTGGAGTTTTCAAAGCCTTATTTGCCAGGATGGAGTTCTTTGTGGCGTTCAGAATAGGGAGCCCCAACCCTCCCACGTGGCGCCCCCCGGTGGCCGCTGGTTTACTCGAATTGTTACAGCTTTCGGTGAAGAGGGAAAGGAAGACTGGAAAGTGAGGCTCAGGAAGGGGCACAAGAAACTGAGGTGGGGCTCCTGCCTCTCAGACCCACCTCCTCCCGGCACCGAGCCAAACCACTGCATATAAACCAGGCTTTGCCCTCCGCCAGTGACTAGGGAGAGACTCACACCCATGTTGCCAGAGCATCTTGCTCAGAGAGCTGAAAATTGCTCCGACCCTGAGCCAGCGGAAGCGGAGTTATTTATCTTTCAGGTTCACCGGCTGAATCAGCGTCCCCCTCATCTCCCCTCGCCACACCCTCTGCGGCCTCCTTTCTCCTCCCCCGCCCCGCCGGGGCAGACCCCGCTCACCGGGCTCTGCAGGATCATGGTGACACGCTTCTTCTTCTCCATCAGGTTGAAGTCCTGCCGCAGGTCCGCTGCACGGTTGCGAAGGCGCAGGTACTCGGGGTCGTCCTCGGAGAAACGATCGAAGTACTGCTGCCCCTGCGCGGACGGCGGGGAGGCGGCCTCGGGTACAGGCTCTTCACTCATTGTCCTGGTGGGTTTACAATCCACTCCTGGAATCCTGCAGAGAAAAAAGGAGGGTACTCCCAGTCGGGGTACGCGCCTCCTAAGCCAGAGGGCTTGGATTCGGGGAGATTCGCGGTGGGAGGCGGCTCTTCCATGGAGGGTGTGAGCGGGGCCGCGGGTTGGAGGGCTGGGCACCGCGGCTGCCGGCCTGTAGGGCGTCCAACGAAGTGAAAATGTGTCACCGGCTCGGGGTCCCCCGCCCTTCCCTGCCTGACCCGTCCGGCTTCGGCGGCCACACGCGGCCACACTCGGGTTCAAGTAGACTGGTCCTCCAGTGCGAGCGCGACCTGCAAACCTCTGGGGGCATCTTGTGATGCTTATCTACACAGTGTAAAGCTATTCACTGGGAATTCGTACTTGATCTAAAATGTAAACCCTCTAAGAAGCCTTCTAAAAACATTCGGTGGGAAATCCACAAAACTGAAAAGAGAACGGGTAACTTCTAAAAGGCGGGAAACGCTTTGAGCAGTGCTTTTCTTCACAACTTTGACTTTGCTCTCGCCTCTGGAAAAGAATTATTGCTGAATCGGTTTCTATAAAACATGTCTCACTGGAGAATCAGACTCTTATTCCAAGTTTAAAAGAGGTGTGCAATTTTTATAAATAGAAAATAAGTTTCTCCTAAACCCCAATAAATAAATATTGAGAAACAGTAAAAGAATAAACACCGGGCTTTCCTGGTGGCGCAGTGGTTGAGAGTCCGCCTGCCGATGCAGGGGACACGGGTTTGTGTCCCGGTCCGGGAAGATCCCACGTGCCGCAGAGCGGCTGGGCCCGTGAGCCATGGCCGCTGAGCCTGCGCGTCCGGAGCCTGTGCTCCGCAACGGGAGAGGCCAAAACAGTGAGAGGCCCGCGTACCGCCAAAAAAAAAAAAAAAAAAAAGTAGAATAAACACCGTTTGAAGGGCACCACATTGCCGGGCTGCCCAGAGGCCCGTATATCTTGACCTGGTCCCTGGAGGGAGGGCTAGGGCAGTGTTTGGAAAGTTGGTCTGGGGAAAAGCCACATGTTTTTTCTACTCAAGCAGGCTTTTTTAAATGCCTGAACGAGGAATGAAGGAATGGCTTCTATGGCCATATTGGAGCCCTTCTGAAGAAGGAGGCTGCCATTCAGCCTCTGCTTCCCAGCTGTGAGACTCTGGCCATGACAGTCTCCCTCTGTATCAGCACTGCTAGGCCCTCAGATCTGGGTTGTGCCCCTTCAACATCCAGAGGGGGTGGAGGCTTACAGAGCTTCAGCCTTCTCCCAGTTGGCTGAGCCCCTTCTCAGCAAAAAAAAGGCAAGTGCCTGGGCTTCCCTGGTGGCGCAGTGGTTGAGAGTCCGCCTGCCGATGCAGGGGACACGGGTTCATGCCCCGGTCCAGGAAGATCCCACATGCCGCGGAGCGGCTGGGCCCGTGAGCCGTGGCCGCTGAGCCTGCGCGTCCGGAGCCTGTGCTCCACAACGGGAGAGGCCACAACAGTGAGAGGCCCGCGTACCGCAAAAAAAAAGAAAAGAAGGCAAGTGCCTTGACTGAACAATAATTAGTTTTTGAACACAAGTACGGAGATACCAACGAAAGAGCTTTACCTGGGGTCAGGGCACCTGGCTTTCATCCTTAACCTGACCCTCCCTCACTTTGCCTCTGGGGTCTCCCATTCCAGAATGAGATGGAGCCTCTCTTGTTCTCTCAGAGCAGCTGCTGGCCTCCCCAGATCTGATCTGCTCCGACCCCTCAGCTGATCCTGTTAGCCCAAGCCTTAGCCTTCATTCCAGCCAACAGCTCATTACAAAAGAGGCCTTGCTGACAACCAGGAAAGCATATTCTTGTTGTCCATAAGCTGCCTGTGATCTCTTCTTCCAGCTTCTGTCAGCACTTTACCCTCCACCTTATAGCTCCTCTGAGTGGGGTGGGCATGAGAAGTGGGAGTCCATCCCATCAGCCCAGAACACTCAGGTGATTGATTGATTGATTGATTTTATTATTATTACTTGCATTCTCCTTTGGAGAAGGCAAGTAACAAGTTCAAGGGAAGACACATGGACAAGGTCCTTTGAGGGTCAGCTGAAGCTCTGAACCCTCGGCCTGGAGCAGGGATCTCAATTTTGGGTGCACGTTGGAATCATCTGGAGAACTTTGAAAAATACTGATATCAGAGATTCTAATATTATTAGTCCAGGGTGTGACCTCATCATCAGGATTTTTAGAAGTTCTCTGGGTGATTCTAATGGGAAGCCGGGTTGAAATACCACTGGCTAGATGTCAGTTGCTGTATCATGCAACAGAAGGCATCCATTCCAGGTGCTGGCCATTTCTAGCAAGACTGCCAAGGTGGCACTGCCTCCCATGGCTGTCCAGGCCTCCTCCTCCCACTGTATTCACCAGCTGCCGCCACACACCTGACCTGGGGCAGCAAGAGGGCTCCAAGTGCCACCACCACCTGCTTTTACAAGTTTACAAAACCATGACATCTGATCTTAATTCTGTCACTAATTAGTCAGCTCCTTGTGAAAGCCCTCACCAGATCTCCCCCAGTTAGCACCACCCTTACCAGCCATGTCGGTGGGATGGAGGATGGAGAAGGGAAGAAGGAGTCACCTTGCAGTGGCAGCCAAAACAAACCAACGGTCTCTAAGGAAATATTTTGAGACATATTTGGCAGGTTGCTAAAGTGTTTGAGGTTGTACTTAGTGACATGTAAAGGCAGATTCTTCATCTAAGTGAAGAGTGATTGAGTCCATCAGGGATGTTTCTGGTTGAATTAGCTCTGGACTAAAGTCAGCATCTGCAATGTTGCCTCGGTTCTGACATTCTCTAGTTCATGGACTTGGGCGAGTAATTTCCCTCTTTGGGTGTCACTTTGTCCATTCCTAAATAGGGGAGTGGACAGAATGGACCTCTGGGGCCCCTTCCAGTTCTGACACTATATGGAGAGAGACAGACTCATGTAGAAAAGGCAGAAGGATGGAGGATCTAGGTTTCCTGGAGCAAGAGACCTTCTTCCTGCATCTCCCCAGTTCCTCTTCCTCAAGCCAAATGCTGAAAGAGAAACATCTGCAAAGAGCACATATGACCTACTGACTGTTACCTTGTGGTTTCAAGTCAATCCCATGCACATGGGATGAGTTAAGAATACTTTACCCCCATCGTGCTCCCAAACAGCTTCATCTCTGGAACTTAGGAAGAGAGAAGAGACCGCAAGGTCAAACATAATGGGAATGCATCGGAGCCAGGCAGACATGGGGTCACCGCCCAGGTTCTTCTGGGAAGACACCGCTGCAGACCAAAATTCTTCCAGAGGCATTGCCCCCCTGCATCTGTCCCCTTTAATTCTCTTGGGCACCTTCACACCCCCGAATCTTTGATGTTATTTTTAAAATAGCAACAAGCAACCCCCCAATGGATACACTGGATGTGGGCATGGAGATCCCCGTGCCCCTCACAACGCCAAACCCCACTAGCTCCAGAACCACCTGAGCTGTCAGCTTCTCTGGGACCAGCACAGCCTGGTACTGAACCCTCCTGGACTAAATCCTTTTCATCCAGGCAGGAAAAAGCTGGTCCTCTCTCTTCCCTTTGGAGTGGCTGCACTTCCCAGGAATCAGGCTGTGAAGTCTCTGAAGTAGCTCTGGCCCACGAAGCATGAGGAACAAAGACCTTCCAGGCCCGATGGACAGGAACCTCCAGGCCTGCCTTCACTCGTTAGAGCCCAGCCCCACAGGGCTGCTCCAGAGGTGCTCCGATGGGGGAGGGGGTAGAAAATGGAAGCCCTGACTCCCTCTCCACGACAGCTGGGGCCTGGGCAAACTCTTCGGTTTTGTGAACCAAAGGCATTCTTCTGTGCTCCTTCTTTCCCTTCCCAAAATGTTGGGAGGTGGTCAAAGTTGTGTGCAGCACAGCTTAGTGGTTAAAACCAAGGACTCTGGAACCAGACCATGAATTCAAATCTTAGCTATGCCCCTTATTAGCTGTGTGATCTTGGGCAAGTTACCTAACCTCTCTGTGCCTCAGTTTGTCCATATATTAAACAGGGATTGCAACTATTTAACTTCTCTTTAGGTTGTTGTGAGGATTGGGTGAGTTAATGTATGTGAAGTAGTTCAAAAAGTTCCTGGTGCATAGCAAGTTCTATTAGCATTTGCTCTTATTATGTGTCATTTAGGGGCTAGAATCATCGTAGCATGAGGAACTCGAGTAATGAGAGGCTTATGATTCAATTGTAAACAGGTACACACCAAATAACTGTAATTATATGTTTTAGTCCCCAAACTAATTCAATCTTGAACTATATTAACAAAAAGAAAATCCAGAAAGAGACTAACGAGAATGCCTCGTTCTCTGACCAGATAGCGGGAACATGTCAACTGGGAGATCACAAAGGAAAAGGGGTAAGCAGGGTGCTAAAGATCACAGGATACCGGCGCTTGTGAGGCCAGGTGCGGCGTCATAAAGAATAGAAGGGGCCTCTGGCCCCAGTTCCTGGCACAGAGCTTCAAAAACACATGGGATTTCTAAAACGTCCAAAAGACATTAGGAGTGTCTTTTCTTAGTCATCGTGAGCCCCTTTCACCAAGTCTGAGTTTTTATGCAAATGTGGTGACTTATGGTGGGCACTTAGATATTTCAAGGGAGGGACTGGCCACTGAGAAGACCAAGCACATGATTAGAGGGTTGGAACTTCACCCTCATCCCAACCACAGAGGGAGGAGGGGAGAGGGGCTGGGGATTGCATTCAATCAAGTGGCAAATGATTGAATCAGTTGTGCCTGGTAATAACGCACACCGCCTTTAAAGAACCCTGGAGGGTAAGGCCAGGGGGAGCTTCCTGGTTGGTGAGCACATTGCTGGGCTGGATGGGGGTGTGGAAGCTCTGCACCACGCCCTCCACCCCCAGACCCTACCCTGCTTTTGTCTGGCTATTCCTGAGTTGGATCTTTTATAATTAAACTGCAATTGCAGTTATAGCGCTTTTGGTGAGTTCGGTGAGTTATTCTAGGGAATTATAGAAACTGAAAGGGAGGTTGTGGGAACCCCCAAATTTACAGTCAAGTTGGTTGGAAGTGCAGATGGCCTGGGGTTCACACCTGTAGCTGGCCTCTGAAGAGGGCGGAGCCTTGTTCATGACTTTGCCTTTTCTTACGTGCCCTTTTAACTCAGGGTAGTGTCAGAACTGGGTTGAATTGCAGGACATTCAATTGGTGTCAGAGAATTGGTGATGGAATAACACCAAGCAACTTCTATTTGTGATTTATTTTCATTCCCAGGACCACTCTATGAGGCAGACATTATTGTCCCAGCTTTACAGATTAAAAAAATCTGAATCAGAGAGGTTAACTAACTTGCTGAAGAGCACACAGATTAACAGTGGAGTCAGGATTTCAACCAGGCCTGTCTCTGGCCCCAGATCCTGCATTCCTCCACTCCAATTGTCCCTAAGTATCTGCTGGACTGCCATGTGGAAGAGGGATTAGGCTGATTCCTTAGAGCCTCGGGGGCCAGAACCAGGAAGCAAGTGGTTACTGTTGGCAGGCAGGCAGGCAGATTCTAGCCAAGGGTGCGAAGGTGAGCCTTCCACCAGCAGGAGCTGCTCAGTAACGAGAAGGTGGGACAGGCTGCCTCATTAGGTGGTGAGCTCTCTCCTTGGAGTCAGGGTGACTACAGGATGCTATAGTGGGGCTTCTGCCCTGCTCGGGGTTGGACCGGTGACCTCTAAGGTCCTTCTGATTCCATGGTAGCTCTTTTTCTTATTGAAGTGTAGTTGATTTACAATGTTATGCCAATCTCTGCTGTACAGCAAAATGACTCAGTTTTAGACATATATACATTCTTTTTTAATATTCTTTTCCATTATGATTTATCCCAGGAGATTGGATATAGTTCCCTGTGCTATACATTAGGACCTTGTTGTTTATCTGTTCTAAATGTAATAGTTTGCATCTGCTCACCCCAAACTCCCAGTCCACTCCTCTCCCTCCCTCCTCCCCCTTGGTAACCACAAGTCTGATCTCTACATGTCTGTGAGTCTGTTTCTGTTTTGTAGATGGGTTCATTTGTACCATATTTTAGATTCCATATATAAGTGATAGCATATGGTATTTGTCTTTCTCTTTCTGACTTACTTCACTTAGCATGATAATCTCTAGTTGCACATGGTAGCTCTTGAGTCAGCAGGATCGGGGCAGTTCATGGCGATGACCTGAGTGTCTGGAAGCTCATCCTGGTGAGATGGACCCAATCAAGAAGTGTGTCTCACCCCCCCATCACCACTGAAAACTACCGACTAATTACCAGGAGGCTGGAGCAGCCTTGCCCCAGGCTGCCTCTTCTCAGCGCTCAGCCTGCACACTCCGTTCCACTCCCAGGGTCACCGATTGCATCTACAGGATCTCAAGCATCCGGGTAGAAACTGGAAGACACAAAACACAACAGATATCAGGGTGTTGTCTGCACCACCATGACTCTTCACCCTGTTTCTGCAGCACCATTAGTTGCTGATTTATTTTAAGGACTGCTGGGAAATTCTTGAAAATGAACTGAAGCCGAATTTTTTATTTTAAAAGCAAATTGTGTCTACAAAAAGGTAAAGAAAGCTTCATTATCTTTACAATCAGGATCAAAATTCCTTTCAAAGAGAGGAATTGGGAAATCCCTTTGCTGAGTGTTGGCCGAGGGAGCCCAGAGGAGGGCGGCTGCTCTGTCCGGTGCAGGGAGCAGAATGTGGAACTCCGCGCAAGCCCAGAAAGCACATGCTGCTGGGCTAGAAGGGATTGGCCCCTTCCTGACACCCCCCAGAATACGTCACTAACAGCTACCAAACTCACAGATGCTGGTGTGACTGATTTTTGCATGCAGCCCAAAGAGGCAGAAGAAGCCCAAAGAATCTCAAACCCCAGGAAAGTGGGAGGGTTTCGAAGTTACACAGACCATGAATTGGTGGATTCAAGACAATGTCACCTACTGTTCAAGGGGAAGAAAGGCCCCAGCTAATTAATACCTGGGTAACAGGTCATAAAGTACTACTGAAGGAGGAATGTAAAGTTGTTAATGTCTTATTAAGAAGGGCGAGTTACTAGTCCAAAACTCCTGGGGACCAAGGTCATCAAAGAGTTAATCATCAAAATGCTTTAGAATAAAAGACAAGTGATAGGTTTTTTGTTTGTTTTTTTCACTTGGGTGCCTGTTGTTTAGACCCAGGGATGCTTGTCTCACCCAGAGCCAGTGTCCCATCCCCACCCCCACACCCACCCCCTCCGTGGCTCTGAGGGCCTGGCCCTGCTGTCCTGCCTCACCAGCAGCTCAGCTCCACCCCAGACCCCATACTGCCCAGAAAGCAGCACTTGGGAAGACTAGTCTCACCCAGGAGGGGCAAGGAGAATTCGTCTCAGCAGGTCCAGTGTGTGTGAGGGAAACCAAGATGCTGCATGACCCCTGAGGCACAGCTGCCTTCTCAGCCCTGCTGGGCACTCGGGGCTCAGCATTCCAGTGCTGAGAGGGCCCCTGAGCTCAGTCCCAATGGTCATGCCTCTAGCTAGGGACCTGGCAGTCGCTTTCAAAAGCTCTTCTCTATGCTCTATGTGTGTAGCTGCCAGCTGGGGCTCTCCTCCCATGGGCCTCATTTTTAGCTAGAACAGAGTCACTGCCACCACTTAATGCTGCTTCTGTCCACTGCCTACCAATATGGGAGCCCTCCCTGGGGGGTTTGCTGACATACCTCTGGATGCCCTGCTTTCTATGGGTGGCCACTGACCCGCCTTAAAGACCAATCCTGCAGCCAGATAAGTTGTCTTACATGAAGCTCCAGCTCCCTTCCCTTCACCGACAGCCCCTGCCACAGAGATGTGAGGTTGTCCCGTCCCTGTTAAGGCTTGGATTTTCAGAGTCTGAGCTATTTCTTGTGTCCACAGAGAGAATTAAACTTTTGTCCCCAGAAGGAACCTATGCCATTCAGGTAAGAAGAGAGACATCTGTCCCACAGAGAAGTATACACTGAATGCTGAATAATTCCTTCCTGATCTCCATCAGTATTGAAATTCTACCATTAGTGTTCCATTCCTTGGGTTATAGCATTAACCCCTGATTACAATGAAAATAGCCCTGAGAGATATTGTAGGCAAAGGCATTATTTTAAACATTCTCCTGTGTTACCAAATCGGTCAAATCTCTGATTGCAGTCAGGCTGGGCAGGGCCAGGAAAGGTACCAGATCAGCAAAAGAGGTCTGATGCCAGGGTCACTCAGGAGGGTCCAGCACCAGCTGCGGTCCTGGGTGGGCCTCGGGGGATCCTGGCCTGACAGAACCCTCTGAGCTGTGCCTGCTGTGGTTTTGAGGCCAGGATCATGATACACTGAGTCCTTGGCTTCCCCAGCACGTGCTTCAAGAGGCGAGCTCACCCAAGCTTCCAGCCACCTAGGCCCCGTGGGCAGAGCTGAGAAGCAAGGGGTGCCCCATGTAGTGAGAATGCCAGACCCCTCCACCTCGGGGCCACCTGCTCACTACTCTCAGTGCACAACCAAGCCAGCTGGAAAGCAGGAGTTGGGACACGAGGTTTCAGCCCTAGCCGGCTGCTCACTAGACTGTGGCCTTTGCCCACCTGTATGTCCCACAGCCACCTTGAAAATGACCCGTCGGAGCAGACCATCACTCTGGCCAACCCTGCACCAGAGCCTCCTTCCTCCAGCCAGCGTCTCCTTCCTGCCCCCCACCCAGCTGGCCACCCACCAAGGGCCCCAGAAGGCAGCCTTGTCTCCTCCCTCTTCATGCCCTGTGTACCTACTCTGTCACCAAATTCTCTGGTTTTGTGTCCTAAATATCTCCCCACCCAGAGTACCACGCCCCGAATCAAGCCAGTGTCATCCCCATCCCTTTCACGGTCTCTGCCTAGCCTTTCCTCTCTCATACCCTCCAGCCAATCAGTAGCCAGAGTCACTATAATGCAAATCTGGCTCATGTCCGTCATTGCCCTGTATCCCCGCCCCCCACCCAACTCATCCATGGCTCCCCGTCACCTGAGGCAGCGTTCCTGCACCTTTTTTTCTAATTTCTGCTCCTCTATCCAAAATTTAGTCAAATTTAGACTGTATTACAAGAGTGACAGCTATCCTTTTTATATTTATCAAATAAAATGTTAACTCTGATTTTGCTCTTTTAAACCAAATGTGTGGCCCATGTAGGAAATTCAAACCAGCCCATTCCCGACCAGGGCACCGGGGATCATGTTTCTCTCTCTCTGGCCACTCCCTTCCTCTTGAGGACGGCACCCTGCAGAATGAAGTCCCTCTCAGCTGGTACACAAAGCCCCATGGGCCTCCCAGTGCCTGCCCCCACCCTCCCTGCCTACCACTGGTGCTCTGGGGGCTATTCCCAGGACCCAGAAGGCACCAGGGTGGTCCCCGTCTTTGTCCTTGCTGGTCTCTTCCTGGAGCACTCTTTCTTCTTTGCCATCATCTCCCTTCGGCTCAGGTTGTCCTCTCCTCCCAGAAGCCTTCCCTCCACACCCCTGTCCCTTACGCTCTCCCATCACCGTTACCCTCCTCTTTCATTCCACTTATAATCCGACAGCAACAATCTATTACCATGAGCTCCTAGCAGGCAGGGCCTGTGCCTTTGCCATTTCTCTATTCCTTGTGTTGCTATGGGGCCTGGTGCCAGGTAGGTGCTGAATAAATGTTATTTGAACTAAAACTCAACTAATGGTGAATTGGGACGAGTTAGGATGGCAGAGCAGCACCGTCCAGGCCCTGGGGTCCCAGAGGTGAGTAAGGCCCTAGGGGAGTCCAGGGAACAGCTTGGGAGACAGACCCCTGAGCAGCCCATTTCAGAGTAAGCTGATAATGGGGCGTGTGTGGCAGGCACCCTAGAGCCTAAATCACCTCCTCTAAAATAACATGTTCTTTTGTTATGTAACCCAAATGGCTGGGCCTGCTCGGGCAGCCATTCTTCTTGCCTATTTTGAGACAGAATTCCAGTAATTGACTGGAGCTCTAACAAAGCCAACTCCACAATATAGCACCAATTGTGGCCACACGGAGGAGAAGGTAATAGACACCCTTGGCTCAGCCCCGCCCCCTTATCCATCCCTCTCACCTCGTCCCTCCTCTGCCCTCGTAGCTCCTCCTCTGCCCCAACCCCCAACACAGGACCCTCAGCTGCCCGCTCAGGGGAGCCCTGGAACTCCCTCTGGGCATCTCCAGTTTGCACCCTCACACTCTTGAGACTACTCAGCAAAGACTCTGCTGGGATTCACCCTCCTAGGAGAGCAGCCGGGGATCACCAATCATGAACGACGCTCCCTGTCACGGGTCATTTTCTTCCCTGTCCCACTGAAGACCACGTATATGTCACCAGTGGAGTATGAAATCACTTTTCTGCGGGTCGTTCCTTGTAGCTATAAAAGGAACAGAAGGTCGCGAAGAGGATGCTCAAGTTGTCTGACTTTTGGTTAAAGTCTGTTTCAGCCCCGTGAGCCCACAACGGAGCCGAGTGCCCGTCTCCTGCCACTTCAGTGGGAGGCGTCCCGACGGGAGCCGACAGTCTGTAACACACGCACCCCAAGCCCGAAGCAGAAAGACGTGGCAAGTGGTCCTTGCGCAGATGCTCCCACTGCTGCCATGGGCACGGCCACCCCCTGGGTGGTGCCAGCCTCTGAAGCCCCAGGTCCCCGGCCCCACAGGTCAGCTCCAGACAAGGACAGCACGGCATTTGCTTCAAGCCCGAGACTTAAAGTCAGAGCCCAAACTCACCGATCCCTGAATGAAACTTCCAGAAGTGAGGGAGGAGCTGGCCAAGGCCCTGCTGCCGTTACTTTGCAGAGTAAATGGAGACCGTTGAACAAGGGACCGGACCACACCCTGCCTGGTCTGTTCAGATAAAGAGAAAGCTCATGCCCCTGGGTGGTGGGATTACGGCTGGAGTTTATCAACAGCTTCTTCACGTACTTCTGAATTTTCCACAGTTCTGCATAAGGCATTAACTGCTGTGACCACTTAGGATGAAAATAGTTTCAAAGAAGAAAGGGCAAAGGAGGAAGGAGAGAGTCTCCCTCTGTCCATCTCCGGAGACCCCCTTGGCTGGAAGAATCCTTGAACCCCCTGACTGCTGCAGGCCTAAGAAGGAAGACATTATTCAATCTAAAAAATTGGGGCTGTTAAACCCAAATAGGTATTGGAGCCGTGCCCAGCCCTTCTCATCAGTGCTGCGGTGAAGGGCCCATCATCCTGGTTTTCAGGTGAGGAAACTGAGGCTCAGGAAATGGAGTGACTGGATCAGGACCACAGAGCTATTGGGAATCATCGCATTACCGAGCGATACATACATAGATCATTACAACACCGGGGGTGGGGGACAGTGCTCCAGTACAGGCTCGTGAGCCACGGGGTTCCAGGGGGGTCTCAACCTTGATGCGCCAGC